CTAGAGCCGCCACTGGTCCAAATGTCAAAGTCAAACTTACGATATGAAAATGAAGGAAAAAAAATGAAAGTTTATCAACTCCCCGGAATGTGAAACAAACTGACCAAAATAAATTTAGTTTGTACCAGCCTATATAAAGGCACACATGAAAAAATAGGAACATGTCATCATTTTAATTTCCTACGGTTTGGCTGTATTTTTCATAAGCCACTTGTAAAATTGTCATGTTTTACATTTTAAAAAAAAGTTGTTGATTTTCAATACTGTTTTAATTGGCGGATGGGTGGAGAGACTGTAGCCTCGTATACTGTATCTTTCAAGGAAAATGCAGAAAAAGTCTCTATCTTGCCCACCACAAGGACACAAACAATATGACCACTTCTGATCTTGAATGTACGTATCTCAGTTTAATACCCTAGACTTATCACATGACTACTCTATCTTTGAAACCATGGTATAAGCTTCTGCATAAAATGGGAAAAAGTTAAAAACATGAGGTTGCAGACTACAAACAAACAATCAATAATCATTACTGCATTGGCCCGGATACATACTGTATTATTATCTATTATCATCATCACATGTACAGTATGTCATCATCTGATCATAGTTATCAACCTCAATTTTCGTTGTTATGATTATGATGGTGATGATTATGATAATGATGACAATAATGATATGAATGATTGGAGAATAAGAGTGCAGTACTTACAGTAAACTGCAAAATGTTGATCAACTGCAAAGCAGGAATAAATGAAGAAAATACTGCAAATACTCAGAGAATATTTATATAAAACGATACCTTCACTGAATAACAAGCAAGTTGTTTTTTTCCCCCTACTGTAGGTACCACTTTTAAAGGACATATTCACAAATGTTCAGAGACGCACCCCTCTCAACCCACATGTGCACGATAAGCCCACAATACGAAGCGAGATCATCAACATGGAGGGATACATGGAGAAATTACCCATGGGAAGACGGAGGGCGTCATTCATCAAAAAATGGAAAAAGCGTTATTTTCGTGCAAAAGAAGGGAACTTATTCTATTATGAGGTAAATTAATCTTCATAAAGGTACAGTAGTTTTTCTTTTTATTTTTAGTTCTACCATATTTTTTTACTTTATATATGGACATATTATCTAATTATTGTTTTCTGAAATGATCTAAAGTAAATTATATTAACAAAAATTATTACTTGCTGACCAATCAGGCTTTTTTGTTTTGATCATGTTGTCAACCTAATCTGAATTAGTACATTCTATTTTTCTTTAACTTTATTGCTCTACAAAGTCTGTTAGTGTGTTATGAAACAACCAAATTAAAAAATACTTGACAAAAAATAATTGTCAATGAAACATACTGTACCCATCCATCATTACCAATACTAAAATGTGCACTATAGTACAGTATTTGCCAACAGTAAATAGAAACAGCTCAGGATGATTATATTTTAACAGACATAATATGCATAATATGTGGCTCATCAATATTATGCCATACTCATGGGGGTCTAAAATTATTTAATGCGGGAATTTTATAAAGAATAACAAATGTGTCTATTTATATCATTTACAGGTAATCTCATGTTAAAACACATACAATACATAATAACTAAATATTTTGGTATTTCTATATTTTACGTATAAATGCTTGTTTGACTAAAATTCATTCTAATATTCCTTCATAGTTGACCAGCATCTCTTTGAGATGATGGTTAAATAAAATTCAAAAAGATATGTTGCCCAAACATCTTTTGATATTGGAATGTCTCCACTTTCTCCATTGGCCAATTCCCCCTCTATCATTACGGAATTAGAATATTATTCTACTTTTAAGTAATGATAGGCCTAATTTATAATAATAATATTTGATTTAGAAAGTGCTTTAATCGATGACACACTATATTATGTGCCAACATTGAATTAAATCAAAGCAGAAGCTTAATTTTTTGAAGCATCTTTCAAACAATAGTATGATACCCTCAATTATATTTCAAAATTAATTAATTTCCTATCATTTATTTTATCCAATTTTTAAAGATACATATTAAACTTATATACAACTAAACATTTTCAAGTTCATGTCAAGTGGGATTTCTCAGTGGTGAACTTTGTCAGTTTTTTAGATGTATTGTCCCAATAAAATAACAACAAATATAATAAAAGTGATTATTAACTTGCTTATTTGAAGTAATACAATATTTTAAAAATGTGTACCCATAATTTGACAGCAAAAAATGATAGAAACACTCCCAGTCACTAGATAAGGTTATTATCATTATCCAGTATAAAAATCAGGGTACATATTTTTTTTAATTCAGTCATTTGCTCAAGTTAATAATTTATATGTTACAGTACTGCAAAATGAGCAATTTAATTACAAAAATTACTTTAAATGATTTTTGTTGTCTTTTTGAGGGGACCATACATCTATAATGGAACATTCCAGATGCCAGTTACTGTAGATTGTAAACATCAATACATGATTTGTTTTTTGTACATCATTTTTTTGGAGTATATTTTTTCATAATATCTTAAAGTAAAACAATTGCATGGTATGGTAACAAGGTTATGTTTATTTTCTCTCTATAGGATCATAAAGCAAGAAAATCTCTGGGTTATATTCAGTTAATTGGCGGGCGAGTGAATGATGTTGGCAGTAAAGCTCTTGAAGTAACAGATACGGTAAGGTGCAATAGGTGGATATCTGGGTATAAATTAAAAACAATATTAACTACATTCCGATCATGGCTAACTCCAGCATGACAGACAGGACAGGGTTCACATTTTATTTTTTTGGAACCTGTAGGAAAACATTTGCACAACATATCCCAAAAAGTTTTACTCTAAGTCAAAGATTATGTCATATTTCAATGAAAAAAAACATCCATTGAAATTCTGACTTGAATGGTGTATAGTGGAGCTACAAATTGGTGCGACAGATGGACTAAAAAAGACATCAACTTCCAGTGATAGTGGATTCTCGCAAAAAGCTATCTAATGTGCCAATAAATATTCCAAGTAGAAAAACATCAAATTCTATTTTTTTTTAAATATTTTTTAAAACATTTTATGAATGCCTTTTCTGTTGCCAACTATTTGACTTTGAAATTGATGTTGGGAGAGTGTTTCTGTATGATACCCTTTAAAAAAATCCTATTAAATATGACATAGAATATCCTTTCACATTAGTTTCATCCTTGGAGAATAAATTCCTTGATCTTATGAATATGATCTACTTTTAGCTATCAGTACGGTATGTTATTGTTAACATAATAAATACACATATAATATGTGGTAGAGACAAGCCAGTCGTCGCAAATCCTGTTTCAGGGATAATGGCCAAAACATGCTGGAATGTCAAAATTTTTAAAATCTATTTTAATGCACTAAACTAACCTTTATATATCTATACATCATGCTATGCTGTTGTTTTCCTCATTTTCGATGTTAAAACAACAATTTTTAACAATTTGGTGATGGTTTCTGTTCGAGAAATACCCAAAATCATAAACTTTAAAGGCTGATTTCTCAAATATTGTTTTTTAAACAGCTGTATGTTTGAACTCCTGTAACTTCATAACAAAATGTCAGATTTAAATGATTCTTTTACCATTTTATAGCTTGCATTTTACTGTTTAACTATGTATTAATCTGAAAATCATTTTTGCAACAAGTGACTGGTTTGGCTTGTCTTTGCCACATGTTATAGTGTAAATTAGATTTACAAATGATTAGAAATTTCTCTTTAAGATATTCATTAGGTTAGTAAACTATGAATTGAAATGACAGGTTCATAAAAACAACCCAAAATAAGTTGACAGTTTTGAGTATTGTGGTCGAAACCTTTTGTTGGAATGGTATAGATCCTTCTTCCTAGTTGAATGAATACTAATTTGTCATTGTATTCTTTATATTATTTAAGTTATTTATTCATAAACATAATTATTTGTTGGCATTATTATTGTTCCTGCATCCATTATTATCATCTAACAATGTATTATTATCTATTGTTTGTTTTACAAGATACTGTACCTCGGAATGCAGAAATTATGAAATTTAATCATAAAAAAATACAAACCAAAACTAGTAAATACAAATACAATTATCTTCATCATTTATAACGTTATAAAATACTTGTATATATATTGTTGTATTTTGGTCTAACACTACTTTTTGTGTTATCTTCTTTGCATTATTGTGTAATTTCAAGCAAGAATGTATGTAGTTGATTCATATCGTGAGCTTTTATATTCCCCTTCAGGGTTTGTCAGATCACCTCCCTTAGTTTTTCTCAACTGTATCGCTAAATACCAACGTACGAGATTCTCTGTGACAGTTAGGTATAGATCCTCCAAATAAAGAGGCTACATAATGTAGACTAGATTTGGTACCTACTGTCACAGAGAATCTTTTAAATTAGCTTCAAGGGATTTCATAAAAGGTCATAGTGTCATAAGTATGCACTGATGTACAGTAATAAAATCTCTGACACAACTTTGATAAAGCTGGATATCTAAATATAGATTCTGAAACCTAATCCAATCAGGTTTCCACTAATCCAAGGCCTTCTTCCAACAGTCTCTGAAGAAAAAAAAATATATTTGGAAATAAGTAAATGTGTGTCAAGGTGTCGTACAATTGAATCATGTGACAACGTGCTAATTAATAATCATCTTAATATGATTGTTAGATTTCCTCAATCAATGACTGGAATAACTAATAGGAGTGTTAATTGTATGCTACTGTAATTGGTGATCTTAATTAATTAATCCTTTAAACAACAGAGATTTTTTTTGTAGTTTATAACACATGCTGTTGACTGCCGTCTGTGACTTTACCAGTAGACTTGATAAATAGTATGAGGACTTGACATCAATGAACCTTTCTGCTAAGACCTGCTGCCACCTTGGATGTTGTTGCAAAGGTCCCACAAAACGACAGTGTTGAAAACATCTCAGACACGTGTTTGTGGGACAACATGTGGACTGTAATATTCATGCGTCTATTCCTGGCCTTGTTCTCATTGGCCAGTTGTTAAGTTTGATTGACACTCGGGAAAGGTCTATATTTTCGTGAATATATCTTGCTACATCGACCATTGCTATTTTTTCTTTAAATGAATATCCCTACAATGAAAATAGAACTGTCCTAGGACACTGCACGACGCGAGACGGTTGGTAACTATGCAATTTAGCATCAACAATATTTATAATACACAGAATCAAAGCATGTTGTTACATACGCCGCAATGTTCATTCAAAATAAGGTATATATATTAATAAGCACATCATCGCTTTATGAGAGTGGTGCTTAGCCAAAAATGAATTGATACAGATTTATAAAAAATATGAAACAGAAATACATATAAATAAAGGAAAAAACCACACAAATTCCAAAATTCCAGAAAGCCAAAGCTTGAAACATATTAAAATTTACTGTTAACATCATTAATCCTAGAAATTAAATAAACTGTTACATCAAAGGCCTGAACTCCATTCTACAAAATAGCTTGGAGTATAAAAAAAACTTCAGAATTTTAAAAACAGTCAATAAAATGCATATAAATATTTTTTTTTAAATCCACACTTTCACAAAGCCAAAGCTCAAAACACATTAAAATTTACCGTTAAAAACATTAATACCATAGAATAAATTAATTGTTACATCAAAGGTCTGAACTCCATCCTACAAAATTGCTTAAGAGTATAAAAAAAACCAATTAATGTTTTGGTCATTCCAGAGCAGCGACCATTTCAGAGAGGTGTTATGAGACTATTATTCATCTATTAAAAAAAGTTTTTTTGGTTTGGTGTTATAAAGGTCAGTCCCTATTATCAAATATCAGTGATTTGCCCATATATAGGCATAATATCATTATTGTACTTATATATGGGCATGATGATGTCATATCATACCCACATCAAACATCATGTAATACAGTAATGTTTCATACTGTTTGTCTGCACTTATGTCCCGGGAGATAACTGGTGCCTGGATCAGCAGGAAAGATATATTAAACCCTTCCCCGATTGCAGTCAGAGTGTTAAAGTGGCATTACGTGATTTGATAGCATAATTATTATCAAAGTTTACTTTTAATCCCTAAGAGTATGTTGAAAATGGAAACATCCTGTGTTAAATAAACCTGATTGGTTTAATTATATACTTTTTTTTTTTGAATCGATTGTTTCTAGAAAGGTAGAGTGTTGCTCTTAAGGTGTGGCACTAAAACAGAACTTGAAGACTGGAGAAAGGCACTTATTGCAGAAGCTAAAGATAGTGGCGGAATCGGATCAACACTTTCAAGGAGATATACAAAAGTAAGACATAATCTGTGGTGCACTTAACTTTGGTAATGACAAAGGGCCTGTGTCTGTGTGTTTTAAATTTGTCAATAACAATTATATAATGTTTGAATACATTCATCTGGTTTTTGTACATGAATTATTGTGGTAAATTAATTAATTTTAAACCAAACACAATTGAAAGTTGACTTGCATAATTTCTGTAATCTAAATGACTACATCAGGCTGTGAGATGGACGTTTGTGTGAACGAGGCCCTCTGTTGCTAGCTCTAGCCCTGTTAAGACTGGATATGGACTGTCTTAGGTTATTGCTTTGTAGGATTTGGTTGTACAGTATATGTAGGAAAGTTTGTAAACCCTGTCATCTCTGTTCATCTTTAAAATTAATTCTACAGTAGATATGACTTCTGTAATTGTGGTTTTTTTTTTGTCACAAGTTGTTAAAGTACTTTCATATCAACATACTACAGTAAAACCCCTCCTTTGGGACATCCCTAATTAAGGGGACACTTTTTTGCCCAAAAAACAAGGGAAAGTATATATTTTCTCTCTACAACCAACAGGGGACTCCTATTAAGGGGACACAATTGTTGGTCCCAAATTTTTCCCCTTATTAGGTGTTCAGCATTATGACATACTCTATCACTATTTATATGAATAGTACTAAAACTACTGATATTTTTCCCTTTAGCCTGTTGTTATTATAGACCTTGGTAGCTCAGCGGTGAGAGCAGGAGTACTGACAGATGATAACCCCACCCCACAGCTTTTCTTTCCCTGTGTAGTGGCAACAAACAAGAAGCAAAAAGACCATAAGGTGTATGGGTTCGATGCACTTCACCCGGACTGTCGTGCAGCATCAAAAGTTGTCTACCCGTTGAAGCCACTTCTAGAACAAGAAAAGGTGGGGATTTTATTATCTTGGTACCAGTATTCACTTTTTTGGGTCGATTGTAATTACATTATATGATTTTATTTTAATAAGCATAAGAATAAGTTGACCAGAATATTGTTGTTGATATTTTGAGGTGAACAGTTTTTCATTTTCATTGATCATTTGATATATGACTACATCAGTAAACAATTGATCTTCTAAACAGTGTAATAAGAATAACTAATTACATTGACCATTCGATGTATAACTACATCAATAAAACAATTAGTTTTCTAACAGTCTAAATAAGAATAACGTTTGATTATTATATCAATCAGTAAATTAATTGAGGAACATGATTATAAAGAACTTAAATTCAAAAATTGGGCTAATACTAAAAGTATTAAACAATTAATATAATAGAATACATAGAAAATGATATATAGAATTTATAAACATAAAGCATAATCATAAAACCATAATATTATTTCACCCAAATGAGACTCGAAGGTTCCCCTTAATAGGACTTCATTACATACTCTATCACTGTTCATATGAATATTGCTAAAAACTACTGATATTTTTCCCTATAGCCTGTTGTTATTATAGACCTTGGTAGCTCAGCGGTGAGAGCAGGAGTACTGACAGATGATAACCCCACCCCACAGCTTTTCTTTCCCTGTGTAGTGGCAACAAACAAGAAGCAAAAAGACCATAAGGTGTATGGGTTCGATGCACTTCACCCGGACTGTCGTGCAGCATCAAAAGTTGTCTACCCGTTGAAGCCACTTCTAGAACAAGAAAAGGTGGGGATTTTATTATCTTGGTACCAGTATTCACTTTTTTGGGTCGATTGTAATTACATTATATGATTTTATTTTAATAAGCATAAGAATAAGTTGACCAGAATATTGTTGTTGATATTTTGAGGTGAACAGTTTTTCATTTTCATTGATCATTTGATATATGACTACATCAGTAAACAATTGATCTTCTAAACAGTGTAATAACAATAACTAATTACATTGACCATTTGATGTATAACTACATCAATAAAACAATTAGTTTTCTAACAGTCTAAATAAGAATAACGTTTGATTATTATATCAATCAGTAAATGAATTGAGGAACATGATTATAAAGAACTTCAATTCAAAAATTGGGCTAATACTAAAAAGTATTAAACAATTAATATAATAGAATACATAGAAAATGATATATAGAATTTATAAACATAAATCATAATCATAAAACCATAATATTATTTCACCCAAATGAAACTTGTAGGCAAAAAAAGAAACAAGTTGCTGTACAAAGTGCCTATCAGATTAACATTCAACAATGTCGATCATAAATAACACATACAATTCAATTCAATGGCTACATTTATTTCTCTTATTTTTCAACAAAATGAAAATAGCATGTAACTTAATTAATAAGAGGAGTAAATCCCAAAAAGCAAGGCTTGTGAAGGGAGGCCAAAAAAAAGAAAAAAAAATCATTAATGAATATAAAAATAAAGCATTACAACATGACAAGACAATAGGAGACAAAGGAAGACAAAGATATAATGAATAGTATTATATTATAGTAGTTATAATTACGGTAATTGTTAACAATAAGGAACTGATATCTAAAGTGAATTAATCTTTTTCTCAGTGTCTATAATTTTAGCAGCAACCAGAGTAATATTGAGTAATTAATTAAATGATTGATTCATAGGACGACCTAATAAATATGCTGATTGATTGACTAATGTGTTGACAAATGACAGAAAGTGGCCAACAATAAGTGTCATCATAGAGAGCAAAACTTAGCTCAGTTGGCTAATCTGGTGGTAGCCACTGTGTGTGCGCTGAGCCGTGGTGATCTCTAGGTCCCCAGTTCAATTCCCATCGCAGCCACTCTTTGTATTTCAGCTGGAGGGCTGAAATACAAATTATAATAGCGCACCGTCTTTCGGATGAGACGTTAAACCCATTGGTCTCGTGTGCATTATGGCCCAATGTGCACGTTAAAGAACGCAGTACACTCTACGTAAAAGAGTATGGGATTGTCTCCAAGTGGACTGCCCAATCACCACCAGAAGGACCCCCATTGGAAATAAGTTGTCTTCTAGACTTTCATGGGCTATCCTTGGTATTTACACCGAATAAATTCAATCCAATCCAGGATGGTCTTATTATCATGACTAATACCGCTCTCCAGCTGTAATTCCTCATTAAGGAAATTATCCTACGTAATACAATGTACATATCACAAATTAACCAATTAGCAGATTGCCATACTTAGCATTGAGCTGTAATTTATATTGTCATCCATGTACCCTTCTGCAGATAGATATATTGATTCATTTTTTAACAGCAATATTTTTATCTCCTTCTGTTTAGTTTACTTTAAATTTAGATGTAGTAGAAGGTTTATTAAACTATATCTATTCGGAGCTGAAAGTAGACCCCATTGCTTTTACGACCCTTCTCATTACACCCTTCAACTTTGGTAAGAAGACATTGGTGAGTGCTACTTTCATTCATTCTAGTAAGATCTATATAATTAAACAGAATTTTCATTTATGTTTAATGCAAGAATTTATACTGTTATATCTTGTTTCTTGAACATACTAAAGTGAAAAGTTTAGGAAAAAAGATTTTGAATTTATGTCTGTTATATCTCCTCTGCACCACCATAAAATCTATTTCTTCGTGACCGTTTACTTTGCAACCTAACATTCTATATATACTGTACACTCAATAGCATCTTCAGCACAAGGGCCTATTGGGTGCCCTCTACTCGTACATTTTACCTCACACATACATTTTTTATTTCCTCAATAATTTGTTTTCTGCCTACATTTCTTTGACAAAATTCTGCCCTTTCTGACCATACTTGATAGACATTGAGACATATTTTCTTTTAATCCTTCAATCTGGAGAATATATTTTTAAAGATCTGTCAAATCGATTCACAGTGCAGAAAAGTAGTTGAATATAAGGAGTCAAATTGTTATTATTTCATGTCACAGGTTTATTAAATAAAATTGGTTTACAGAACATACATTTTCAATGTTATCAAATAGTTTCATCTGGTTTTGTGATAAAACTAAACAAAAGCAAAAAACAAAAACAAACAAAAAAACAAAAAATACAAATAAAAACAAAAAAAAAACAAAAAAAACAAAAAACAAAAAAACAAAAAAAAACCAAATAAAAAAAATGTAAAAACAAGTAATTGGATCATTTTCAATGTTGTTCAAAAATTATATCAAATAAATCTTACAATGTCAATGCACTTGTATTGATATAATTAGGAATTTATTGTAACAAACAATTTAGAATTTCGTTCATGAATATATCTGGTATATTACAGTACAGTATATACAAATTAATTTTCAGATATTAAAGGTTGGTATTTTAATGATTGTTAGACCTAAGGAAGGACCAGGTGGAACTGAAGTGGTACATATTTTGTTTAAAATTTGTTATAATTGTCTTTTTTTCTGTTACAGGAGAAACTTGCAGAGTTGTTGTTTGAAAGATTCCATGTAGAGGGTTGTTTTATCCAGGAGCAGGCGTTGATGGCGCTATACTCTTACAAGGCAACGTCTGGTGTTGTTGGTAAGATTGTCACTCTGAATATTGTACATATTATTTGTCTGCACTTAATGGATAACACAAATGAGTATAAAGCATGAACATGTGTTAAGCATAGAATGTATCTCAACATCTATCTTTGCATCTTTCGGAAGTGTAGGGGGTTGCCCCGATGCTGTGGTTCACTTCAGCCCCTTTCATTGTGAAATCAGGTGAACTAAGCACCTCTTTTTGGCTGCTAAGTAGTTCAAAGTTCAAATTCAAGTTAAGTGCAATAATAGTGGGAAAGATGACATTGCGAATACCACAATGGCAGAGAGTAAGCAAGGTTAAAATCCCTATTTGACAATTACATAGAATAAGCAAAGATGTGTGAGTTGAGTTGCTGAGTGGTAAGGCAGTGGTTCCGTGCTAAATACACCCTTAGCATTGGCGCTGGCGCGAGCCGCTTCTAGTCCGGGGTTCATTTGGTAGAATTTGGCCCGGGATTTATCAATCTCAGCTTGGCAAATGTCTTAAGTCAAAAAAGTTAAGATGTCCCTAATAAATATCTTAAACTGATTTATTACTCAATCTTATCAAAATCTTGGCTTAAAAATCGTCCTTCAAGATGGCGCCAACATACAATTGACTTTCTAATTTTAAGCAATTTTTAAGCTAAGCAATATAGATAAATTTGACTTAAGCAAAAAAATGGACTTAAGACCAATTTAAGCTGATTTCTAGTTTGATAAATTTGACCCCAAGTCTTTTGGATAAGAACTTATATATAAAACAGTGTACACATCTGACTCGTGTGCACTTTAAACATCTCATTGCATCTTTTGGAAGTGTAGGGGGTTACCCCGATGCTGTGGTTCACTTGTGTCATTGTGAAATCAGGTGAACTAAGCACCTCTCTTCAGCTGCTAAGTAGTTCAAAGTGCAAATTCAAGTTCAGTGCAAAGTAATTTGCTTGTCAATAGTACATCAGGGTAAAATTTAAATTTGACTTCCTCTGGTACAAAAAAATGGAAGGCACACGAAAGTACATAAAGACGATCACATTTCAATCTAAGTGTCCTGTGTTCAAATTCTGTAACTCATTACTTCAATGAGAATAAATGGTATTTCACAACATTTGACATTTTGAATTCCTTTATAGATGTTAATTCAATTAATGTTTGTGTTCTCATCTTAGTTAATGTAGGTGAAAGAATTGATATTGTTCCAATAGTGGATGGATACATCGTTGAAGGAGGTGTTAGCAGGCTACCGTTTGGAGGACGACAGATTACGGAGCACCTCACAAGACTTCTAACAGAACAGGGTCATAGGTCAGTACCAAATGTTCATTTACTGTATAGCTTGAGAGGTAGGTGTCATGGATATATGGTCAATGATAAGTATTCGATACGATACGATATATTTTATTAAGTCCAAAAAGGAAATTTCATCAGTACATGTAAAATTCTCAAACAAAATCAAAGAAACCAATCCAAACTATGCATTCTGAGGTAGGGGCGTCACTGCACCAAGGTCCTAATGACCCGCATACCCCTACCCCAATCAAACTATGCATTTTGGGGTGGGGACGTTACTCCACTGAAGTCCTAATGACCCGCATACCCCAACCCTAACCGAATTATGCATTCTGGGATAGGGACGTTACTCCTGTAAGGTCCTAATGATCCGCATACCCCAACCCTAACCGAACTATGCATTCTGGGATGGGAACATTATACTCCATTAAGGTCCTAATGACCCATATCCCCCTACCCTAACCGAATTATGCATTCTGGGATAGTGATGTTATTCCACTAAGGTCCTAATGACCCGCATACCCTACCCTAACCAAATTATGCATTCTGGGATAGGGACGTTACTCCACTAAGGTCCTAATGACCCGCATACCCTACCCTAACCGAAGTATGCATTCTGGGGTAGGAACGTTAGTCCACTAAGGTCCTAATGACCCATATCCCCCTACCCTAACCAAATTATGCATTCTGGGATAGTGACGTTATTCCACTAAGGTCCTAATGACCCGCATACCCTACCCTAACTGAACTATGCATTCTGGGGTAGGAATGTTAGTCCACTAAGGTCCTAATGACCCATATCCCCCTACCCTAACCGAATTATGCATTCTGGGATAGTGACGTTATTCCACTAAGGTCCTAATGACCCGCATACCCTACCCTAACCGAACTATGCATTCTGGGATAGGAACGTTAGTCCACTAAGGTCCTAATGACCCATATCCCCCTACCCTAACCGAATTATGCATTCTGGGATAGTGACGTTATTCCACTAAGGTCCTAAAGAGCTGCATCTCAACCCTAATCGAACTATGCATTTTGGGGTAGTGACGTTAGTCCACTATTGACTCGCATACCCAGCACAAATTCAGGAACCTAAAACAAAAGTATGAATTGTGTTTATTATAAATTGTATTCTACCAATGGTGAATTTAATGTATTTAACCTTTTTTTCCTTTAACAATTTTTTGTAAGACCAGTACATTTTTGAATCTGAATATCTGTGGAACCAACATCTCCTGAGACACTGCAAATATATTGCAGCCACCAGCTTAGCTCAGTCATCTAAACTGGGGGTAGCCACTGTGTTCTTCTATCCTAAAGGCGTGGCCAGCTTCCCTTCCCCTTCCCCTTCCCAGTTTCCATAGTTAAGGTATAAGTGTTCTATCTTGATAGTTTGGATATTATAAACTGTCACAAAGTATGTGTCAGAGAAAAATAATTCCTGTTTTCTGAATATTTTTCAGATACTTCTCAGACGTGGAATCTTACATCAGCAGATACATTAAGGAAAAGGTTAGAGTAAATTTTTTTTTAAAACAACCCCAATTGCGATCTTATTTTATGATGCATTTAAGTATTGTGTATTACTACAGTATACCTTATACAGCAAATATTTATTAGGCAATATCAGCATTTCATGGATCAATTCCACTCAGTACACAGTACAATATTTTCAGCTACATCCCCTGCTCTTGCATATTTACAAAAATTCCTGAGGGGAAACTGTAGTGTAGTCCTACTTACTCTGTGAAGTAGTTACTGTACTACAGAGTGTGATGCGTACGAGCACAGCGATTGTATATCGCGTGCACATGTAATGAAGCACTAATGTGGTGGCCTGCGTGTATCCCGGCCCTTGGATCCTGGCTGCCATTGTGTAAAGAAAAGGAATGTTATTGTTATTGAGTTGTTGAATAGAAGTTGTTGAACCCACGACCTGTTTCTTCTGTAGCACTGGATTCACCCAAATACATAGCAAAAACACTACTACCCAAAAAGCGACTGTCGCATGCCTGGCTATGTAAACCATATATGAACTCTGTAATTTTACCGTCATAGCTCAAAGTGGCTAATGTAGATGAGTGTTTTGCTGTTTAATATTTATGAAGTATAGTAAAACAATTACAATATGGTATTACTTTGGTATTAGCAGGGAATTCTACATCTCAATCCATGTTGTATAATTGTATAATAACAAAGATAATCAACAATAAACAGAAACTAAATATTCAAAAATTTAGTAACAATGTACATATGAAACAAAACATATCCTCTGGAGTTGAGTAATTTACAAAAAAAATTCCTGTAAAATATCGACCCTGTGTCAAATTTGTACACAGGTCAACATTTATCTTACAACATCAACTGGTGATACTCTCCAGGGACCTGCCACACTTCCCCCCTCCCCGTTTCCGACTGTCATGATTCAAAATAGAACGAATGAAATGTTTTACATTAACGGTTTGGTTCAGTAAATGCTCGACGGTGCTTCGAATGACGGAAGTGAAAGTAATGAACAAATAAATAAACAATTTGTCACCCCAAGCCAACACCCAAACAAATTCAGGTGTTTTTCATAACCTGTCCTTAAGTTTTGTACCGTTCGTTGCCTAGGAATTTGGCATCCACCCAATGTCTTGTGGTACATGATTTTGATAACATGTGTCTAGCAAATGTGTAGGTATCTTTCAAATGATGCCCTCTTTGCTTGTTTTAAACCCAATCCTGACTAATATAATGTATTTGTCTAAGCATGTGACATGCCTAAATATGGTCATGATGTGATGTCATCATCATCATATATAGGCACATCATGACTACATATGGGCATACAACAGTTTTTTTTATCAAAAAAGTTTGATAATCTTGGCAAGGCTTTAATTACACACTGGGTTAATAACTTGTTTGTGTTAAATTCTGACTGATTGCCACAGTTTCTCCAGTATAAAAACAGTCCAAACTTCCAGCATCAAAAATGCGACTGGCAAACCTACCATTTGTTGGAAGAATTCAAAATTGAGTGTTTGGTGTCTTCAGATTCTGCATGAAGTCTTCTTTAAAACTGTGTTTATTTGATGAAAATCAGTTGAATATTATCTATCTATCTATCTAAGTGCCATATCAGATCCTGATGTTGGGGACAATCATGTCTTCCTCTCTATTCTTGCAGCGCTTGATGAGCTCAAGGGGGGCATTACCAGTGGCTCTCTGCAACCATCCTAAGTACGTTAGGTGTTGTCGTCTATGTGATCTTCGGCCCTCTATCTTTCCTGTAAGGGCTAGTTCCTCAAGCTGCTCTTTTCTTAAAACATGTCTCATAAAACGGATCTGTCTTGTAATAATAGTTTTAATAAGCTCTCTGCTAGTGCCAACTCGGTCCAGTACTTGAATATTAGGCGAAGTTATAAACATTCAATTAATTGGATATCAGACATGTAGGTTTTGAGAAAACAGCTTCCAAAGATTCTAAAATTAATAGGTTGTTATTAAGATTTTTATTTTTAAAATAATTTTAATTTACTTTTCAGTTGGATTTAGTAATTGATATTTTGCAGAAATGTTCTTCAGGATATCTTCTTTTATAAACTGCAAAAACCTGAAATTGTTCAAAATTCTGATTCTCCTAACATATTGGTTGCAATAGTGGGAAATTAGAGCCGGTCACAAATTACTCCACTAGTGTTTCCTTTCATTGATTTATCCTTTGAATGTATCACAACATCACATACAACGTAGGTCGACAGAAAGTTGAAATGTCTTACCGACAAAAACTTAAATTTCTCTGTTTAGCCTATGTACAGTTGATATGGTAATTTTGACCCCTTGTTTTATTTTGGATTGATTACCTGTGAGTAATGGATTTACTCTTTCCTGTTTAACAGATCCTGTTTGCCTCAGCCATTAGGGTTACAGTAGTTGTCAACACACCAGAATTTTTGTAATAGAGATTTTTATCCTAAAAAAGTGCAATCCTAAACCATAAAATTTTCCCTTGATCCCACCAGGAATTTTACTTTAAAGACCCTGAGTTCCTAAGCAGGTCCTTGGTTTTGACCCTCTGTCAGCATTTTTCTGCGGCTATTACTGCTAATGATTCATATTCAGGGAGTAAGTGCTGCACACTTTCTGTAACAGCAAAAGTGGTTTGGCACAGTGGGAACGGTTTGGTTTCCCAACCTCGAGGTCAAGGTTTCAATCTTTTGCTGTGCATTTCACTTGTGTCCTGGGGCATGGCACTTTATCTGCGTTGATTCTCTCCACCCAGGAGTATAAGTGAGTACCTGGTAGGGTTAAATTCCAAAATGTGCTGATGTACAGTTGCTGTTGCAACATTATGGAATACTCCCCCATGAGCTTGAGTTTGTGTTCCACAGATAACCCAATGATTGGGGTAATGATAGTGTGAAGTGCATAGAGAGCTTAACAATATGCGCTATTTAAGTCTACCATTATGATTATTATATTATAAAAGCTAATATAATAAGCCTGGAATGATGTTCTTAAATTTATTCTAACTTCATGACCTTCTATGAAAAATAATGTTTTACTTATGGCTACAGTCCAATGAAAGCTCTTTATAAAGCTAAGTCTGTTTTAAAGCATCTTATAACAAAGCTGATCGACAATCTGTCTTTTCCATGTCAACCGTGATAACTTCTACTAAAATTTAATGGCTGATAGCCAAGATAGAGGGAGTAAATCAGCTTTTGCTTTTTGTATACTCCCACCTCATATTATCTATAATTTTATTCACCCTCATGAGTAATAATTCTGTCTCTTATGCACATCTAGATGTGTATAAGAGACAGATTGTATATCGCGTGCACGTGGAGGAATGCACTCCACCCCCTCTGCACACGTGCTAGATATGCCTCTGCTCATTAACAACCTTACTATTGTGCCTTTCTATACAAATTGTCTTCTGATGTAATTGTTTTTTTATTATCTTGCTAACTTACCATTCTCCATGAACCAGGTCCTATTACAATCTATAGCTTTAACCATTAAATATATTTCCCTTGTTCCATGTAGCTCTTGGTTGGAGAGATGGTAAGAATTCCTTTCGCTATCTCTCCCAAATCTTATTTGTCAGCTGCTAGGCACGCTTCAATTTTTTTTATGACATAAACATCGTCTTTAATAAAAATCAGTTTATGCACAAAAAAGTATTGAAAGTCAAGCTGGCAGGTCTTTGAGCTCTTTTTCCTAGAATGTTAAGTAATTCACAGAATCTGCCAGCATCATTTTTAAAGCAAAGTAAATATTTTATGGAATTCAGTGCCAAAGTGGTTGTTTTGTTACCTCCACAAAAAAACCAATTCAAGTGTATATTCTTAAAAAAGACACTGCATTTGACAGCATCGGAGCATTGCCTAATGATATAGTTCAGACATATTTTTTTTTTTTATTACGTTTTTCTTCTTAGGCATGCTTTGTTGCTCAAAATTACCAGGCTGAGCTGCAGTTCTGCAGTGTGGATTCTGAGCTGTGCAGCACCTTGGTAGACTTGGATCGATACAACGTACCTGATGGCTTTGGGTAAGTTGAGTGCCAGATAAGCCTCACTGGAGAATTTCCATTCAATTTAATGTTGCTTTTATTTTTAGCTACGTGTAGCATGGCACGAAATGAGGCTCCCTATGGAAGAAATTGGCTTTGCTCCATTAGAGTCGGACTATTGTACTTGATAAGAGGTGGTACTTCATTCTGTCATGTAAAGATTTCACTTTCAAGATTACGAATGCATTGTCATAATTTGGGAAGAGCAAGGAATAGAAGATAACAACGTTTCTTTTATAATAAAAATAAAACGTAATAATATTGGTACACTATACCACAGGATTACACAGATTACAGAAAAAATACAACTCATAAACATGTTACGTTAATTAATGAAATACCATTTTAAGTTATTTATTAGGCCACTTGTATAATTCATAAAATTAGTTTTTAAGTTTTACTTGTAAGCCAAAAAGAGATTAGAAAACATGTTTGCTATTACTGTACATTAATATTTCAAATGAATATTTCAAAAACACCATTCCTATTTCAAATTAATTATTAGATTGCCCAATTGTATACGTACTGCACTTATAATGGCAAATTACCAATTCAGAAAACATATTTTGCTAAATTACAATTTAATTTACAAGTCAGTTATTTAAATAGGCCAATTGTTATTTTATATTCATGTCAACAGTGAACATTTCTTGGTAAGTTCCAAAAGAATTCAGAAAACACATTATATTTATCATATTTGATATTTCAAATTGTCAAAAGCATAGAAGAATAAATAAATGAATGATTCTGAGATTATAAATACTATTTCATTACATCATAAATGTTTGGATCAACCCAAAGATATCATACAGTGGTTCTTATTAATTGCAGTACTGTAGTAGCTTATTGAAACAATATGATGAAGCCTTTCTAGAACTGTACTTCACAAAATAAAGTTCAATAAATAATGTAAATACAAAAACATAAAACCTTGATTCATTGATTAAATCTGGGTTCCAGAGTTAAAAATTTCCATTAAAAACAACATAGTACAATTAATTATGTTAATTATGACTTTATGCTTTTACAACTTATCAGAGCTTGGCAGTAAGGAACATCCATTGCAATCAGTGAGTTCCCAATCACAATTTTTTTTATTGTTGTCATTTTATTTAGTCTTTTTCTTTGACCTTGTAAATATATATATTATTTTTCTTGACAAACTTTAGAAAAGCTCTTCACCTGTTGTTCCTTTCCGTCCAAAATGTGATTATTTATATTTTACTTGATTTTAATTATGTTGTATATTTCAATATTATATAAAGTAGAATAAAAAAAATGTAGCAATATTCAATTGTACAGTGTCAAAGCAAGGACAATATTTCGTTTTTGGCATTTTTTAATTCTGCATGAGTTCTTTAAACAGTGTTTGTAGTAGATGGAAATTTGTTGAGTTAGCAGAGTTATGGATATTTAATTCATTGGATATCAGCCATGTAGGTTTTGAGAAAACAGCTTCCAGAGATTTCAAAATCATTAGTTTATTATAAGGATTTGTATTTTTAGAATAATTTCAATATACTTTTCAGTTAGATTTTGTGATTGATATTTTTCTGAAATATATCATCTTTTATAAACTGAAAAACCTGTAATTTTTCAAAATTTTAACTCTCAAATGTTTTGTGTGCTATGGCGAATTTAGAAATTGCAGTAAATGTAGGATTTTCCCAGAGCCAGTCACATACAGTACATACAAACATTTGCTGATTTTACATGAAATCAACAATACTTTTTTATCTGTGTAATACTCAATAATGTGCAAGTTGAACATACTTTTCATTTTGACACTATTCTCCCTAGCTGAGGTAGTCAATTTTTTACACAATAATAGCAAAGATTGAACTCATGAATATTAATGACTTCTTTATAACTGACTACAATGCAAGTTAAATTTTAATTTTACCTGAACTGAATGTTAAGTAAATGTAGTGTTTTATTTAAAACAAGAGGAAACAGGTTTATTCTGGATTGAAATGTTAAAATTGTTTTATTTGTGCATTTTATCTATTATACTTCCATCAAATTTTTCAAGCAATTACTTAAAATTTTTGATTAATAAGTGATAAATTTTAGTAGTAGACAGTGATAACTTAAAAGTGGAATGTGCTTTAAAACTATTAGCAGTGTTGTCCTCATTGGGAGACATTTTAAAACAGAACTAATGGCTCATCATTGTAATTAAATTGTGTTAGTGCAGTATTTCCGACGCCTGCCTCATTTCGTTATGCTACAGCCTTCAGTAAATTCTCTGAGATTTAAAAAAACAAATTTGAAAAGCCAATAAAATGATATTTTATTTTAAATTAAAGAAGTTTTTTTTAAAATAAAAATGAATATGCAATTTTGTAAAGCACATTTTTTGTTTTAGTTTGTTTTTGCAATAATTTATCTGTAGCTGAAATATAATCAATTTTCCTTTTGGATTAAAGATATTGAAATGTATTGGCATGGCAATTCATTTGAGTCCAGTCTGTTTATTTGTAACATTCATTCTTTCAATCATATTCAGTTATTCATTCGGTTATTCATTCATTTATTCATTCATTTATTCCTTTATTCATTCATTCATTCATTCATTCATTCATTTGTTTATTCTAAAAAATTCATCCATTCATTTATTGTCATTTGTATTATATGAATGGACCAACAAAGACTTTCATCATATGGGATATAAAAATAATAATATCCTATGCTAGACTTCTATTAGTGCTCCAACAATGCATCTAAGCGCTTCACATTATTACCCCCGGTCATTGGATCAAGTGCATATGGAACACATACTCAGCTCCCTGGGGAGAATGCCATAATGCTGCAGCTGTAAATCAGCACATTTTGTCTTTGAACCTACCAAGTACCCGGGTGGAGAGAAACAACTGTAGGTTTAGTGCCTTGACTAACGTCAAGTGAAATGCACAGCCAAGGTTGAGAAGCAAAACTGCAACCTCTGTGTCAAACCTCTCTTACATACATGTATGGAATATAGTAGTGTCCTATTAAATGGTTGTTTATTATTCCATAGTGTAAAATAAATATTGCAAAATATAATAAGGATCATAGAATGATGTTTGAAGCTGGACACGCGCCGACTTCAACCGATGTGATTCTAGAAAGAACATGCAACCTCAGGTGCGTGTGATGCATTGTTATTAATAATAGTCGCCCAATCTGCCACAGACAATGGCTTCGCATTGTCAAACACCCAAGAGAGCGGAGAGACTCGGCCGATTCAACGTGTGTACGGCTTTAGGGATGTGTATCTAACCAATTATTCTTTTGTTTTCAGGCACGTGCGAGTTGATAACGGCCGGTTCCGAAGCACTGAAGGCTTATTCCACCCGGAGCTATGGGGCAAAGATCATCCTGGGTTACATCTACTGGTCGCTAAGTCAATCAAAGCTTGTGGCATAGACAACCGCAAACACATGTGTAGGTGCGTTCCATCATTTTGTTAAGATGTTTTATTTCTAATTATTTCATTTCTTATTTTTAACATTTTTTAAATTAATTTTTTATAATGTTTAATATCAAAAAGATATTGAAATAGTTGGGCAAAAAGGGCTAATAAAAGTTTTTTTATTTTTTTTTAGTTTCAATCAATTTTACTGTTACATTTTCTGTTCTTTTTTAGCGTTATTTTTTTTCTAAGTAAATATTTGATGCTCTAAATTATTTATATCATTATTCAACTTCGTGAATTTTCCTCCTGCATACCCACTTTTTCCCACAACCCTCCTGGCGGAATTTCCCTTAAAAGAAGCCTTTTCTTTTCGTAAACAGAAGCATCTATTTAAGCGGAGGAAGCACCAAATTACCAGGTCTGGCAGGTCGCCTCAAGGGAGAATTGTTGAAGATCTTTCCCAAGTCAGCGACGATAAAGGTAAATAACATAACATGCTCCAAATAATCTCCTTACTGCCCCTGATTTATATCATCAGTCGGTGCCTTGGTCTTTACCCAAACTTCCTGAAACTTATGCAATAGTTTAAAATCAACTTCCTGTATTTTGATTTTGCAAAACTCTTTTCAAAAACACATGTGACAACAATTTCATACACTTTATGAACATTTTTCAAAATTGTTTAATAAAATGGAGAGAAAAAGAAAATTATATTTAAATGTAAATATGTAAATTACTGGATCTGCCACTGAGTTGTGAGAAAACAATCCCGACTCATAACAGGATTTGAACCCATGACTTTGTGCATGGAAGAAAAAAGCACCACAGCTAACAGTTAACCTCAGAACCAAAACAAACACATTTTAAAAATGTACATACTGGACAGCTATTAAAAACATCCCATATAGATTTCCATCTAAAGTTTGCCAACCTGTAATTATTCTAAAGTCATTTTTATCTTAGTGTTGATTCAGTTTGGATCTTCAGTTATCTTAGATAGAAATATGGCCATGACACACATATTGTCTTGTCATCGTATTGATAATCAGGAAGTTATCCTGAAAATGATTGCTGTCCCAGATTCACACTTGTTGATAGTTTTGGAAATCAAGCCCAGGTTTCCGCATGCGACCTCGATCTTTGGTCAGATTTTCTTTCCCATGATCACATGGTTTTCTTTCCCAAAGTTTTTTTTATAATTGTTATCAAGAAAATATTTGCACTTTAACTCAAATCCCTCCCTAAGACATAAATTTCAAACTTGCTACTTCACAATTGATTACACTATTAATTAATAATAATTAATTAATTAATTAGTAATTAATAGTGATGACAATAAGGATGAGAATGATTTAGCCAGCGAAGAGTTACAATTATTATTGTTATTATTATTATTATTATTATTTATTGTTATTATTTTTTTTTTAGCCTGACGGTATTGATTGTTAGTAAAGGATGGGATTCTTTGGTTCTTTTCAAACGAATATTCCTCTGATTAAAACCAAACAATCTACTTCCATCAAACTGATGATGAAATTCATATTCAAATTTTATATTTCATCCTAGAATGCTTCCTCCTGATCACCGTGAATTTCTTACCCTAAATCATGCAGTCGGATAGACTGGTGGTAGCCCCTGTTCAATTCCCATCGCTGCTGCCCTTGTGTTCAGCAGGAGAGCTAAAATGCAAATTACAATACTGTAGTGCAGCGTCTTTCAGATGAGACGTTTAAGTTGTTGGTACATTATGGCTCATGGGCATGTTAACGAACGCAGTATACTCTTTGGATAAGTGTAGGGCATTGTCTCCCAATCACCACCACAAGGACCCCACTGAAACTGTCTCTTATACACATCTACTTCGTGGGTTAACACTCGTAAGGAATCCTGATATTATTGTACTGTTTATTATTTGGTTTACTGTTGTGTTCTCAATTAATTTAATATTGCGCATTTATATCTATTTAATATCTTTATTGTTTACTGATTTTAATAACACACTAATTTATCTCTTTACAACTGCACTCACTAATTGTTGTCATTGTTATTGTTGGTTTTATTTCGTTTCTACTAAACAAGGTCCACGCTGCACAAGAACGCTATCACGCTGCTTACAACGGTGCCACGATCCTTGCTCCTCTATCTGTCTTCGACACGATGAGTATCAGCAAAGAGGAATGGCGAGAACTGGGGCCAACAAGCATCACCAAATGGCTTGGTGATTGAAATGTGTTAACGTGAGCTTGGTATCAAATACTGATAAGAGCACATTAAATTGTTGTGGATATGAGAAGAATAATATTTTCCATATTGTAAACTATTGCACAACATCGATTTCCCCAAAAATTATTGCCTATAAAATGGATGTTAATAGCACACACTATGAGGACAGTAGTTCTACAACTTCTTAAGCTTGGTTTCCATACAATCGCTATACGCTATTGTGACGGCTGTCGGTGATGCTGATTTGTCGGTCGAATTGGGGAGCCTTCCCAATTGCGTCGGAGACTGCTACGCAGATCAACAATTGCGCTGAAAAGACTTAGGGACAGTGTAGCGATTTTAAGGAAACCAAGCTTAAAGGTCAATCCATATTAAAGGGTTCTATATGACAAGAATATAGGCATGATGATGTCATATCACATCTATACATAGTTGGGTTTGATGATGTCATATCACTCCCATATATTTGGCAAGTGAATGGTATTTGTCATATAAAATTTGATAGTGTAGACAACTCTAAAAAAAAGTATTTAGCCATTTTACTATTCAAGAAATTGTATGTTTTTACTGAAAAACAGCAATCATGGTGCTTTATAAATACAATATGGCAAGGGGTTGAGTGCATTAACTTTAATCTAAGAATATTTAATCATTGCTGATGCCTCAACCTCATGATAAGTAATGCAATAATCATGCAATATTATGTTAGAATCACATGGTTGATTATACCAAATTCAGTTATTATTGTCAACATAATTAGTTATATCATCATCAATACCCTTTTTTCATCAATATTATTATCACCCGTCATCATTCTTATCAACATTATGAATATCTGTAGAACTATTTTATCGATAATATTATGAGACATTCTCAACAAACAACAGTTCTTTTCAGAACTACCAGCTTGGTGTACCGCAGGCATTAAATATATGATAATATTATGAATATCATCAACAATTACCTGCATCACCACTACCATCATCATCATTATCAGTATTATTTCATCACCATTCTCATCATCTTCATAATCATCATCATTATCATTATGAATGTCATTAATTATCATCAATACTGTATCTATTTTGTCATCATCGTCATCATCCACATCATCAACATTATAATATTTATCATCGTCATCATATTGAATATCATAAACATCATCATCATCATCGTCGTCGTCATCTTTATCATCTTGTCCTATATTCTTTTAATTCACTGTCTGACCATGACCATGGTCTGACCTATAACCTTTTCTGGCACCTAAACATAAATATCACACTTAGGCTTATCTAAATCTTGTGCTCTAACTCAAAATCGTATAAATATAAAGCTGATTCCTATTACAATGTCTTAATAGGATTTGTCTATAATTTAAACCCTTGGGGAATTGCACTTCCCGGTGGCACGTCCTCCCTCCAAATGTTAATTCATGTAATAGAAAACATCTAAAATCACAGCAAGTGCTTTATCCCACCTTCCTCATGATATGTCTTGAACTATTTCACATGTGCCTGTGTAGACGTGCTTACGCACACTGACTGTGCCAAGATAAGATACTCTTCTAAGGTTCTGTTCATACAAGAGCAATTTAGATGTCAATTGGGTTTGAGTTAAGCATATGAATACGCTGTAACAGATGTTAAAAGGCCTAATTTTTGTATTTTTAAATAATTCTCTGAACAAAATAATAGAAGAGATAAGTTGCTTTTTGTTTTAATGGATATCCAAAATAACAATGATTTCAGTTTATTTAAAGTACTGTTTCTAACAAGTGTTTCAATTTTTTATAGGAACAAGTTTGTGTAAAATGTTCTTGTGTTTTATATTATCTTCTACATAAAAATTGCGAGATTTATATTTCCAAGAATTCCAATGCTATAATCAGATATAATATTTAATGTTCAAAAGGTTTACAGTAAAGCTGGTGAACTTTTTGACTGAATGTGTCAGTCAGTCCCATGGGCATACGTCATGTAATGCCCAGATTTCATCTTCGTGTATTGTTCATAAATCATATCTGACCTTACAAGTCGGTTTAAGTTCTTTATAGAAATCGGACAAACTGTCATTTGATTACGTTACTCTCCTAGGAAATATACTTTAACGCTCCGGAGGAAAAGATTGTGTGTAAACATGCGCTTCCTTTGACAGATTTTGTATCTAAATTCCATACTCCTTACAATGGCTGTGACATTTTCGTTTACCACCATGTTGAAAAAATCGCCGGACGTGAAACTAATAATTTTATTTGGCTTTTCAGTTAAGTGTTTTAGTGTGTAATGTGATATCTGGACCACCTAATACCATCACGAAGACGATGACTATATTTGTCCTTTGCTTATTATTTTAGCCGTTGTAATTCTTTATTTTCCTACAATGTTGACGTAATGTCCACCAGTTTATAACTGAATCTCCAATAATACGTTTGAAAAACTACAGCTCTAACGAAAAAGACAAATGTGTTTGCATATGAGACAAAATATACCCATTTACTTTTTGAGATAATTTTAAAGATTTATTTTAGCTTAAAGTTAAGCTACCTCTACATCCACCTGATCAACCAAACCACAGATAAAAATGACCGGAACAAAAATGGCCACAAAATCTACACCAATGTGTTAGCGTTTGGAAGAGGTGCATTAAATATAAGCTGGAAACAATTGTTTAAGTATCTATACCATTGACCGCGTTTCTTAGTACAGTACCTTGAAAATATATTATGCTTGGATGAGATTATTTTGATAACAGTAATGGTGGTACGGAAACACAGAATTTTAGAGCATTTACAGTATTACTAACAGCTTGTCACGGAGCCGTCAAACCGACGGGCATTGTGAATTTTAGTTTGCGTTTTTGCGACAATATTTTGATACTATTTCGTTGAAAGGTTATTGTGCTAATAGTATGGAATAATGGTTCGTTTTTGACCGTCTATCAATTTATATCAGATCCTATTTGTATTTTTGATGGTTATTATTATTAGGTAGTACTGTAGTGCCTACCGTTAGGAATATACAGAACGTACCTATGTTAGACTGATGAAATTTATTTTTTTTTTAATGTATTATTTTGTAAATATCTATGTACATTTTCCGCAATACTATTCTAACTATGAAGAATCGTTTCTCTGTGAATGAAGTTGGTGATAAATGAGGTGTTAGTGGCTTAGCCGCCTACACCAAGTATTTTTGTGATAATATTTTATGATGCTTTTAGGAAGATAATCACTGTGAAAATAATACAAATATTATGTAAATATTCAGACAGCTATAAAGATATTTTCATGTATTAAATTAAAGTATAAATATAATTGACATACCTGTTACTCATGTGGTTTATTACTCTTAAGGCCTGTTTATACTTCAACGATAACGATAACGATAAAAAAAAATAAAAAAAAAGATAGAAAGCAATTGCTCATATAGAAAATAAAAGAAATAAGAGAAGTTTTTACACTAGAACGATTCGATAACGATTTATCAGTTATGCGTTAACAACATATTTTGACAAATCCAATCAGATGACGTTATAATCATGGAAAACATTAAAATCGTAGTAGTAGCAACGATTTTATCGTTTTTTCCATGATTATGACGTCATCTGATTTGATTTGTTAAAATATTTTTTTATCGTATACACGATAAACCGTTATCGAATCGTTCGAGTGTAAAAACTTCTCTTATTTCTTTTGTTTTCTATATCAACAATCGCTTTTTAGCTTTTTAATCGTTATCGTTATCGTTGAAGTATAAACAAGCCTGTTAGCCGGTTACTCAATGCGTGCAACTGCGACGCGACGACAACTCGACGAAGAACGCACACGAAGAACGCACACGAAGACGCGGACCCAACGGATTGTCTTTTTAATGAGGATCCGTTCAGATTGCCACTGACAATAAGCAGACGGCGTTGCGTCGTCTATCGCTCGCCAGAAGCAAATGTGGATTCGTCGTGCGACGGTCGTACGACCGTCGTTCGACGCAGTTAGTGTCCGGCTTGGATGAACAAGCTTTCTATAATGGAACAGTGACGAATCCATGGTGCACGGGGGAGACAGGCGCTTTCCCAAAAAAGGCCGCTTCCCGCGCTCCAACTGGAAATTTTGAAGCAAAATAAATACGCTGAAGTAGTTAATTCACCTCGTACCACCTTATTTTGCCAATCAGCGTACCTTGCTTTATCATCGCGCCCTCCCACTTCACCTCCCTGCCACCTCCATCAATTCCCTCGTTCTGTAATGTTTCAAAAAGAGTAAATCATTACAAATTTGAATAAAATCATACAATACGCAGAAAGTAATAGCTAAAAAGTATGAAGGTCTTACTTCATTTGCTGAAAACCAAGCGTTTGCTGAAGGCCAAGCGTAATAGTAGAATTAATTTTGTAACCTTATAATTTTTATTCACAGTTCAATTAAAGCATTATAATACCAGTGGCAAGATTGAAACAGAACTTGTAAATTTTTGGAATAAAGTTGCAATACACATTTAAAATAACGTATTGCAATATAATGTATGAATTTCGTCGAAGTAAATACAAGTCAAGAAATTTTAAAGCTAGGCCTACTTAAGTCTCTGTGTCTGTTGAAGACTGGGTCCTTTGTAAATTTTAGAACGTTTCATTTCTACTGTTTTGTATTGAAATGTGTTTAGGAATGAATAATTATTTGTACCAGATTTGTAAGTCTTCTGTAACACTTAGACAAAATGTCTTTTCTTTATCCACATTACCATACGCTATGTGATAGGATACATATGTGCGTGATTGATGACTTGGCCCGTAACTAAACATACACCAATTACAAATTGTTTACCTCTTTTTAGTTGAAATTTGATTACGTTGTCCAGGTAGTGTAATGTAGGTCGATATTCCGTTGGTCAACACTTATTAAATACCAATGACTTAGCTGCACAAATACTGCGCAGGTACACCTTTGTCCCAGGTGAAAAACACCTGCATACCGGTATGGCTTTAATTTTGCCGAATTCCTCTTTGGGTGAACCTGCAACATCCTGAACGGAAACTTAATTTTTAAGTGTACTAATTTTTGAAGATACAACAGCTTTTTTAGTTTCCTAATGAATAATTCCTTAATTTAAAAAAAAAGAATGTCGATATTGTGTATGACACTTTCTCCAACTTCTAGCGATTACTCACCCTTTCCGTTGTTCTATTCAGAAAAAAAAATATTGTATCATTATTGGCCTGTGTGAAGTTGCTAGGAATATTGGAAATAGAACTACGATTATTGTTTCCTGAATCGCCTGAGAATTGTGTCGGCAAGTATATAAAATAAGCTTTGATAGGAACTTTACACTTCTGGTAATCGCATAACCAATACCTTTACACTTTCTATTATGTAAACATTACACTTTTTAGTATAATAAACAATTCTTAAATTAGGTAACGGTTAATTACATTGGTGTTGATAAACGTGTTTAGGTCTACTTCCTAATGCTTGTTTGTATAATGTAAGTAAACATTACGGTAATTACAAACATAAGCACGCGGGTCACTTTTAAATAACTGACTTGTGTGGGTAACAAGTTGATTGCAGCGACATGCGACTTTAACCTGGTACTTTATTTAATAGACTGACTGCCAATGAACGATAGGGATTATCCCGCTCGGAGTTTAGGGTGACGCGGTCTTTCCGGAAAATCGTCGTCCAATGCACAGGTCGTTTACTGAGAACACTCTTGTGTAGGGATATGCTGCGATCAACTGTTGATGTGCACTCCGAAGTATAGACAATAATCTATAATCGTTTAATTTCTGTCCCTGAGATTTTTATTGATATAATCGATATGCTTACGTTCTTGTTTATGATTGTCCATATTTCTTTGTTTACGCATGGCATCGCAGTAAGCACCAGCCGACAGGTAGATTTAGTCACCCAGGATGGCAGCGGATCAGAAGGCACAGTTAGTAGTATTTCTGAAATTCGTTTATCGTCGAAACGATTCAATTTCACGGTTCCAGCAAGTGCCGAACCTGGATACACGGTCGGAAGAGTGACGATTTTACAGGATGACCTTTCTCGAGATTATTCTGGAGTCACATTTAAACTCATAACAAAAGATGATAGTCTTAGTAAAGATTATTTCTATCTTGAACCGAAGACAGGAGTCATACGCGTCATCAAAGCTGGTGTTGATGTCATGGACACCCATTTGTTCATAGTTACAGCAGTTGATAGCAACTCACCAACGTCACCAGTAGCATTGACAGTTCTAACAATATATGTTGTGGAGGGAAACTTTTACTCTCCAGTATTTACAAAGATGAGGTATAGAGCAATAGTTGCATTTGAGGTTGATAAAGGAACGACGATATTAACCGTCAGAGCAACTGATAAAGATCATGGTGAAAACGGTATGGTCACATACACTCTCTTGAATCCATTGCATCGAAACAATATTTTCAGATGTAAACGAAACGGCGAAATTGCTAATAAGAAGGTATTTGGAGTTGATAGAATTGGTGACTACACGTTAATTATTGAGGGAACTGACGGCGGCAACCCACCAAAGTCATCTAGGACTAAAGTAAAAATTAAAGTTTATGATGTCAGACCGCGTTTCTTGTCAACGAATTACACATTTACAATCTCTGAAACTGAACAAGTAGGTTCAAAGATTGGAGTGGTCGCGGCTACATCATGGCAGCCATCTGACGAAAAGGCCAACATTTCATATAGTATTGTTTTTGATGAAGGGAATTATTTTAAAATCAACAAATCAAGTGGAGAAATCAGTTTAGCCAGACCCTTAGATAGCGATTTCGGTAGCAGTTATCGTCTAGTTGTTCGCGTACAAGAGATTGGTTTTGCATTACGAACAAAAGATACTATAGTTACAGTTGGTGTTATATACGATCCTGCACAAAACCCTACAAATTCCTTCACTAACATTTCAATACCCGAGGACATACCTATCGATTCACAAATTTACAAATTTGATTATAATATGGAAGTTTTAAGTTATAGCATTTTAAATTCTAGTGTTGATCTACCTTTCATGGTTGGTAAGGAGAGTGGCGTAGTGTTTACCACCTCTCTTTTAGACAAAGAACGTACTAGCATATACTTGTTTAAAGTACAAATAGAAGGTGAATCATTCTATAAAACTGTTGACATGCGTGTTTTAATTAGAGATGTCAATGACAACAAACCAGTATTTGAAAATTGTCAGGCCAAAATCCAACATCAAGACACAACGGTAGGTGCTGAGGTCATTCGCCTCATAGTCACTGATGCTGACATCCTTGGCGATTTGTCGTATTACATAAAGTCCGGCAATATAGGGAATGTTATTAAAGCAATCGAGTACAAAAATGGGGTATCTATTGCCATTGGTAAAGAAATTGAACTTCGGCAGTATGATATTGAAGTGGCAGCAAGCGATGGCACTTTTGTGTCAGTTTGCAACATCAGTATTGACATTGTAAACAGGAACACGCCCCTTTTTGACGACTGGATGTATAATGCACTCATCCACGAAGAACAACCGATAGGAAAACAAGTTTTGCAGGTACATGCCACTGATGATGACGTGGGTGAAAATGGACTTGTAACTTATTCAATGAATTTTAACCCATATTTTGATATCGACCAATCAACAGGAGAGATTTTTACCATTGTCAACTTGGATCGCGAAAAGCTAGATCGTCACACATTCAATGTAACTGCTTCGGACGGGGGTAGACCGCCTAGACAAAGCTGGGCGACGGTTACAGTGCTGGTCCTTGATATAAATGACAATCGTCCCCGGTTTCTGAACTTGCCGTATTTTGGGGAGGTTCAAGAAAATAGCAACACATCCGTATCTATAATCACAGTGGAAGCTATTGACGACGATAATCATACTTTTGGTGAGTCGTGCGGGCTGAATTAGTTTTAACATGAATTGAAATAATAGGTCTAAGATAAACTACACGATTAATATAATTAGTAGGCCTATTCTTAAATGTTCAATAGGATGTTATTGTCAAATTAAAGTATATTATTATTACTGTATTTGATTGTTATTGTTTTTTGTCATTATTATTATTATTATTATATTATTTTATTGTTATTATTATTATTATTGTTAAGATTATAAATATCATTGTTAATATTTCTTTTAATTATTATTATTATTATTTATGCACAACAGCAGGAATAACGTATGCATTAAGGGATGACCGCTTCAGCATATACTTCGTAATCGACAAAAAAACTGGGGAAGTAAAATCCCGTCAAGGATACAGTCTGGATAGAGAACTTACTCCGGAGTTCAGCCTCGTGGTCTCGGCTTCAGATGGAACTTATATTACGATGGGTAGTATCCACATCACAGTTACAGATGTAGATGATAATCCTCCGCGTTTCATTTCGCCAACGCAGTATAAAATTCAAGAAAATGGTGGAATTGGAGTTGTTGGACGTGTGCTTCTTTCTGATCCAGATGTAGAGATGAGTGGGCCTGTAAGTTTTCGCCTCACTAAGCCCGACTCTAAGTTCTTTAGCATCAATACGACCACAGGAGTATTATCGACGAAACGGAACATGAGATATAGGTCTAAAAATAAGAACGTGTATAGGCTTGAAGTTGTTGCAACTTGTGGCAGATATACCATTCGCCAACCGCTATTAACCTACATCATACGGAATGAGACATCAGGTGAGCTATCTATTTTTTTATATATATATATAAATTTCTAATTAAATAAATGTACATTAATTATACCGGTACGGATCTTCAAACGTTGTCACTAACAAGATGAAGCTCTGTCCAGACTCCCACATTTTATTTGACAAAAAGCTGTTTTGTTACTATTATATATAGCCATGATGTGTGTTACTATTATATAGTCATGATGTGCTATATATGGTCACGATGTGATGTCATGACCATTTAGACATGTCACACGTTTCTCAAATAGGCCTACTGTAATATTTTATAATCAGGACAGAGCTTTAAAGGTGACGTTCGAACCCCGGAATATGACAGTAACAAATTAGCCACTCAGAAATTTAATAATAATAATAATAATAATAATAATAATAATAATAATAATAATAATAATAATAATAATAATAATAATAATAATAATACATATTAAGAATCCATTTTTTACGGAAGTGGGTGGTGTGTGACATGGGGAAATCGTCTCGAGGGCTTGATTGCGAATTTCCATGGCCTATATTAAGATTCTACAAATATACAAGCTTCTCAAATCCTTACATTATACCGAAATATTTAGGGCCTTGTGACGCGCCTCTGGATATACCAGGGATGCTCATGGATACCATGGGGGCCCATGCGGTTTCCTGATCCTGTGCTTTATTATGTAGATTCCCTGGCGTGGCCTGTCGGCGAGGCTTTTTGCTCAGTCTGGCAATTTCTACATGTATATTTTTGTAGTTGATGAAAATTGGTGATGCGTCTTAAAGACAACCGATGCGAGTTATTTTTATAATTATACGGCGCATAAACACCGATTTTAAAATGCATATTTTATATGTATATATAACAAGCTGAAATATAGTGTTTGAAACTCCGATTTCAGAGGATTATTAACTTCTTAAGATGCAAAGATACGCTTCAAGACTTCGACTGTCTCAAACAAATTAAACTCCCCGCCCCCCCCCCAAATTGTATTAACAAGTTTGATGGATACCTGTGCTATAAAAACACACTATTATTACACAAATATTCCATACTTGAAATTTATAGGTATAGGCTCAGTATACTCAACTAATATTTTCTAAGATGCAAAAATTTCTAAGCATTTCAGTTGAGCGCACAAACTCAAATTTGGATTAGTCCTATGCACTCTCATCGGTTTCAGAAATTCCGATTTTGGAATACTACTTGCCGTATATGGTACCGTATATTTCGTAGCCGATGTAGGAGATTTGTAATATGGCTGCGCAATCGGGGAATGAAGATGGAAACAGGACTACTCCCTGACGGATGGAACCCCCGGTCAGAAAAAGTCTATCATTTAGTTATAAAACACTGCTTTGAAGCATTGTTACAATCCGAGATTGCCATTCGGGCATCTCAGTATTTATCCATAGGTATTCGCAAAATGTTTGGCAATAATCCTCTAGATTCCCGTAAATTTCCGAGGTTGGCGTGGACCACCTGTCGAGGTTCTTGGACGTCTCGTCGAAGTACTTGTATCCCCTTTCGGGGACTTTTAACCCCTCGGCACTGGCGTACCGTAAAAAATCCGAGTGGCTTGCGGTATGCATAACGAACATGGTAACTTTACATTAGGCCTATCTGAGCAAACAGGAGCTTATATTATATTTTTATTTTTGTTCTCTTTCTTCAGAAACAGCAACATCAGCCAAAGCCTTAACGTTACGAAACAAAAATGTGTCACTAAAGACTACAGTATATCCTATTACCAGTGCGTCGCTACCGTTAAAGGATGATGTCACAGAAATACCCGCCTTGACTTATACACCACCATTAGTTTCGCCTGCAAGTTTAGAGTATACTAACACCACCACTGCTACAACACAGATGTTTATAGACATGCAAACTACTCCAGCGGCATATCAAGAGACAGACGTCCCCGTTACAGAACCATTGATGGAAAATATAACATCAACTTCTGCTGCACTGCTAGGCCTAAATACAAGAAATAAAACATCAATACCTGATGCTATGTCTCACTGCTCATGCGACAGTTACAGCGACGAAGAAAGGGAACTGACGATGAAAATATTACAAGTAAAGCTGGAGACACAAGAAACCGAGCTTAGGGTGAGGCAAATGGAACGACGTGTTACCAATATGAAACTCAGATACTGGACACAGCAGATTAAAATTGCTGAAGAACGACAGATTGATTGTGGGACGCCTCCTTTCAAACTACAAGATGTTAGAGGAGACATTTAAAACTGTTTCCAATCCTTAAAGATCTGAAAAAAAAATAACGGACATTTGAAATTATAAAAAGAGGATGCCACCTAACTCATCTCACGGACAATTGTAGGAGAAAGAGATAATCGGTTTAGTTTATTGTCCTGTTTCCATTTCTCCAAAAAGGAGGAGAGAATATTGTTTGAAACGGCACTGGCATACCGGTATGCCTATTAGAAAAGACTTCAGCTCTGGCAAGGATCTTTTTGTCGAGGTTCAAATTAAGAGTTCCATCTAAGTAATTTTTTTTCAAATTTTGATATTAACTGAAAGCAGGAAATATTAGTGAACACTTCTGCAACTTTTTAAATCATTTAAATATTGTTAATGATTAAAAAAATACAGCCTAAACAGGTAAATATTTTTATTTTATCAATATCTAAGCTTAGTTATAAACTCGTGGAAGAGGTATTTTTACTAACGAAAATGGCAATGCGTGCTATATCTTGCCAAAAATACAGTTTGGATGACACAATAATTTCACAAAATTAACTTCTAACACTTTCGATATTATTAATAAAAGATGGGCTTTTTATGTATTAATGCAACAAACATCTTAGAGACGTTTCATATCACAATGCAAAATCAAAAGACAGCTTGAGACCTAAAAACCGTAACTTTAATTTTTCAAGTTTTTCTTTGTCATGTACTGGAACAGTATTATGAAAGAGTTTAAGTAACGTAACGAAAAATGCCAAATCTTTTTAAAAAAATCAAATTATGGTCATACACCAAGCGACTGGAGCATTTGGATAATATTATGGTCAATTAAATTAGGCCTTTTTAAAATCCACAAGTAATATCGTACTGGCATCATAGCATTCATAATTTTTGGCAGTGGTTGGGGTCAGTGATGATTGGTCTAAGGTCACACTTAATATTTCTATGTGGGTTGACTTTGGGAATAGGAACTATGTTGAATAATGATGATGCTTCTGATTTAAATATAATAGCACTACAATTGCATTTTATTTATTCATTCATTTCTTAGGTTAGGTTGGACAGGGGTGGTTATTTTTGAACACCATTTAAACAATCTCGTTGAGTTTCTTTTGTGTTTCCTTTTCATTCATTTCCAATTCTCTGTTATTCTACTTGAATTTTTATGTGTTTTAAAGAATAAATAAAATTAATTGGAATTTGAACTAGTGCTTCAAAAAATAGTGGTTCAGTTCTGTTGTTTCATCATGTTGTCGCGAGAGACTTGACTACGACTTTGAACAAGAAGACATAAGACCCATCTCCAAATACTTACAAAGTTCGAAAAGAGATAAAACATTCTACCTGAAAAACACACCACTAAGAAAAGTAATAAACGACTGAGACCGGCTCTGGCAAACGATCTCTTTGTTGAACATCGATTTAAGTGTCTAATCTAGGTCATGTTTTTCATGAAAGCAGAAAAGGTTAAAAAAACACTTTTCAATATTCTAAAATGACTCAGCCCAAATTAAACGGGCCTATTTTAACTTAGGCCTATATATAAAAACATATAACTTGTGACAAGTCTAATACTAGAGACGCGTCTTACAAATTATTAGTGTTATAACAATACAATACAATAGGCCAATGTGTTGTGCATAACCTTAATTATTGTTGTTTGTACTGTAGGCCTATTACTTAACCCGTGAGAAATGTGTTGGCTGATAGTCTGTCCTAATGATCATAGCAAGGCACGTTTTATTACTCGCGATTACTTTTGAATGATAGAGCACCACGTGGATTCAAAATAAAATATCTCTGATAAATGCCGCAGCGCGCTTGTTTAGACTATTTTATAGATAGTGACCCGGGAGAGGCCCTTCAGATCCAGGCCTGGATCCTAGAAGGTCGGGTGATGCATGCCTTTAATGTGATGAAATAATGTGATACTTTATGAGCTATGAAATGATTCTCATTACAAGACATAGGGAGTGGAGAGTGTTTTGCTGCTTGTTAGTTTAAAACTGCAGAAGTGCGATCCTAGTTCTATTGAACCTATTTGCGGTATTTTTTTTTCTTAAGTTGTTCAAAGGTGAGAACAGATTCATGGTTGATTTTTTATTTTCTTAGCGCAGACCCCGTTATTATGCACTATATAATTCCCATTATAATATATAGGCCCACGTACATACACATAAAAAAAAATCCGGTGAACTGGATTTGGACCTAAGATCCTGGGATTGGAGGCCCATCATCAATCAATCAATCAATCAACAAAGATTTGTATATAGCGCTATACCGCGGCAAAATTCAATGTTCAGTAGCACTATGACGTAACATCATAACTAGCAAGCTATGGGTAGGCCTACATTACGTTTGGCTCGGTGATTATTTGAGTTGCGACGCTTAATTCATGTACTTTGTTCGAATTATATTATGCTTAGGCCTACCATAGTGACCAGACCTAGCATTTTTGGCATAATTTAGACCCATTTAGCATCTAGCATATGTGCTGGCACAATTTTAGAAAAATTTAGCATAATTTAGTATAATTTTGACCTCAGAAGAAAAAAAAATCTGTAATCTGAATTAAACCAGCCGTCAATAACCGTGGATACCACATAATAAAAATGAATTCGTTCATTGATTGCGTATCCAATATGGTAAATCCTGTGCTATGCGCACACTGCAGCCGCCTCTCTGTGGTTTTATTTATTTATTTATTTTACCACACATTGAAAATGGTTTTGGCCAGGTACCGTACTCAATCCTGTCCTGTCCTGTCTTCACTGGTGGCGAAATTTGCGTTCGTTCGGTCCGTCCGGGAGGCATGCGTCCGGGAGTAGTGTACTACCGACTACTGAGTTTTAAATTAATGATACTGATAGGCCTACTCGGGCTGATACTCTACTGCTGAGACTGTTCAGGTATTTGGTTATAAAAACTGCAGTGGTTACGCTTTTGCTGCTCAACTATACTATGTGCAATTGCATATTTTGTTTTTGTAATGTGTTATACATGGCTGGCGAAACCGGTGTGCCCCCCTCCCAACTTTGTGGGAAAAAAATAAATTAAACAAAATATATATAATGTCTAATAAAGAAAATATATAATGTCTATGAAGATTTTTTGTAATGTCTATGGAGATTTTGCTTTATCGGAAAGAAATGCAAGAAAAGAAAGAGGGAAGAGAAGGAGGAGAGGGAGGGGAAATAGAGTGTTTATGCCGTCCCCGACCGAGTTATTTCTCCCAATTCACATTGGCGGATTAGTTTTTTGGGGGTTTTTTTTGTTGTTTTTTTTGTGGGGTGGGGGGTAGGGGATTCCTCCTCTTTGTGGTTCATCGATTCATGGAAAGAAGAATATGTATGCAATGTACTTCATATACACACATAATAGGCCTACTAGTATTTACTGTAACAGGAATGAGAAAGTATACCTGACCGTTTTCAAAAGGGGGATAAGCTTAAAATTTCTAGAATTTAAAGTCATTAAAAGACAGCTCAGAAGTCGGGAAAGCTAATTTCCTGCCATCTAGGAATCAAAATTGTCCTTCCTCTTTGGTGTTCATCGGTTCATGAAAAGAACAATACGTATGCGACTCAATTTTTTTTATGTACATATATACACACACACACATAAATAGGCCTATTTACTGTAATAAGAGTGAGAAAGTTTGGTTTAACTGACCGTTTTCAAGAGGGGGAACCTTGAATTTTGAAGAACTTAAAAGTCATTAAAAGACACCTCAGAAGTCTGGAAAGCTCATTTCCTGCCATCTAGGAAAAATTTTCCCAGGGGAGGAGCCCCTTTCTTTTTGGAGTTATGAAAAAAAATTGACACCCCGCCCCATATGAAACCAGGTCCGTCCGTGTTTATAATAAAATATAGTATGCTTGTTCAAAGCTATAAATAAAACAATGCCAAAACAATTTTATATATAATTGTATAGTTTAACGCTTTAATAACGTCACTTAATTTGAAATATTAAATCGACATGGGTCTAAAAAAAAGTCTTAAATATATTTTAGACCCTATCGTTCGTGCAGTTCTAACTCCCCTCGTGCAGTTAAGAACGCCCAGGCGTTCTTAACTTCCTCTGTATTTGGGTAGGCATATGGTCAGGAAATTAAGAACGTACATGTAAATATATAAGAAAGTATAATAAATACTCCAAGTATTGAAATACACGCCATCGTGTTAGGATTCAATATTTTGACATTAATTATGTCATCATCATGACATTAATTATGTCATCATCATGATGATGACGTAATTAATGTCAAAATATTTAATCCCAACACGATGGCGTGTATTTCAATACTTGGAGTATGTATTATACTTATGATTATCTGAGATTAATCAGTGGAACTTTCGGTTTATGTAAATATATGTTATAGTAATATAATTCGGCAACTTGTTTGTTTAAATAAAATATTAACATTAGTAAAAAAAAATATAAAATATTTTATTAGCAATTTTAATTTCAATACGGATATCAAACTATTTCTCTCATAAAAACACAAAGAATACATGAATATGTAGACGTCAATAAATCTGTTATATTCAGTTATATGTACGTCTATGTCATTATCTAATTATTAATTAAAAAGGTGCTGTAATCGAAGTACTGTAATAACTTAGACTGTTGAGTTTTGTATTTTGATTTATGTCATACCGTAACGAAGCCCTGGGCTTTTTTGGCGAACTGAATAGGCTTTTTTTTCCGAGATGAGCTACTTTTCAAGGCTACTTTTGCAAAGTAAAGAGGGCGGCATCTTTTCAAAATAAATAATGTAACTTTTGTGAATTTGTACTATAAAACAATAAATAAGACTGTAACATCAATCTGTATCATAAATTGTATTTAAATGGCATTAATCATACTGTATTCGTATTTGTTTTTAATATATTTTGTTTTCTTAAAAAGAAGCCCAGGGGCAGATCCAGGAGGGGGATTCAGAAAGTTCCCAAAAACCCAAAAAAGAAGGGGGGGGGGGGGGCCGGGAAAATTTTGATTTCTAGAAATGAGCGGGGGGGGGGGGGTCCGGGAAAATTTTGATTCCTAGATGGCCGGAAATGAGCTTTCCCGACTTCTGAGGTGCCTTTAAAATAATGACCTTTAAAGTTCTTCAAATTCAAGGTTTCCCCTCTCTTGAAAAAGTTCGGGTAATAACTTTTGTTAGCCAGGACCCATTAGTATTACGTTTCTTCACAGAGGGGGTTTCGTCCGAACCCCTTGAACCCCCCTGGATCCGCCACTGAAGGCCATGGGCTTCTTTTCGAGGCTAATTTTGCAAACTAAAGAGAGGGGCTTCATTTCGATATGGGCTTCATCTTGAGAATAAGCCCACTTGGCTTCAATTCGAGGTTTTACGGTAATTGTATGGTTAATTAAGAACCAATCACATGGAGGATGCGTGTATTGATTCGTATAACCTTATTGGAAGGCACATATAATTTTATTATATATTTTGTTATTTCAAAATCACCCTAAAGCAAAAAACTTTTATTTTATTACTGTAAATTTTACTTAGGCCTAATTATTAATTTATTATTTTAACGAATGTTATGGGGGACCGGGAAAAAAAGTCATTATTGAGGTGGGTAGCCTAGTTGTGGACCTAGAGCCCCGGTATTCAACCCCCGGCCCGCCAAATTTTGATCCGGCCTGTGCAACATTTCTGAAAAATATTTTTTTTCCTGCCGATTTTCTGTTATAGAAACACGACGGACCACCTATTCTGTCATTAAGAGTCTGGATTTTCTGAGTATTAGCTCACTGTATCTAGTTGGCGCAGAGTATTGACAGGAGAGGGAAACTGATCCGGGGTAATAATGTAAGCGCATAAAACTCTCTACAATATGCGCTATATAAGTCGACAATTATTATTATTATTATTATTATTATTATTATTATTATTATTATTATTATTATTATTATTATTATTATTATTATTATTATTATTATTATTATTATTATTATTATTCAATATTTAATAGAAACAACTAACAGTTAAAGGTTGTTAAATTTGAATAATGTTAACTGGTTCCTTAAATTTCAGTAATATAAGACCAAATGTTTTGGTTTTGGTGTCTACACCTATGTTTTCAATGTCAACGAGTCTGTATCACTCAAAATAACGGATGAGGCGATAATTATTGATTATTGTGTTCATTTCAATTGTATATTCTTTCTTTTAACAAAATCTGAAAACCTTAATCAGTGCCTAGAATTATCTAAATTTAAACAGGATTCGTCTAAGCAAACCGATTACTACTTGGCAAGTTCCTCTAGTGCTAGAATATAGGAGGTTGCTCACACAAGATTTATGATTCGATTTTACATTAGTTTGGGTGTATTTGTTTTTACTTTTTAATATATTGTTATTCTTAGAAGTAAACGAATGCCTGAACTGATATTTTGTGGGTCTCCTATAACTTTCTATACGAAACAGATATCACAAATCATATAACATAACTTGTGTACAATTGAAAATTACTGTTTCCGTCGTCTTTGTGCATTGAAAATAATAATGACGACGACGAAAATATTGCCAAACCCCCAACCGTAACTCAGGCTACGGGCCTCGGTTGACACTCCACATCAAAGGACCCGGTAACTGCACAGGTACCGTACTACGCTGCCTCCTCCTCATCATCATCATCGTCTTCAGTCCTCTTTATCATCATTAATAATTTTCCATAGTAAAGTAGAGTAAAACTATTGATTCGGAGTGTATTCATTACGCATATAGACGTCAGAATGCAGTCAAGTGCATTTCCAAGTATCTATATAACTGAACTAAAAAAAAATCCGAAGGACGATCCCAGACCCCTCCTTTCTTCCCTTCTGATTTTTTTTTTCCAGCGACAGAACAACCACAATGTACGCTCTTTTCTCATGGCAGTGACCCCGCCTCAGTGGCGGCACTAGGATATACTTTCTGGGGGGTGGGGGCTGAGCTATCCGACAGGGGGACTTGGGTTGGTAGGCCTGAGCTGGGGGAAGGGTTTGAGAGGGTGTTCTCTCTCCCAAATGAATTTTTTTTTAAGAATAGGAACCTCTAGATGGCCTGAAATGACACTCTCTGATTGTGACAGACATTTGTTGGCTTGGCGTGGGCCTATTTTTTTTAGTCTGACCACTCGACGAGCTCTGTCCAAGGAGGGGGGGGGAGCTTGACCTGTCCGGTGGGAGCAGCCTGCTGCCCCCCTGGCGCCGCCATGACTTCCCCGTCCACCCCTGGACCCCATCCGTGCGATACCGTAGTCAGGGTAAACTGGATCCCCGCCTGGGCGGAGAAAAATGTATCCCTTTTGGGCGGAGGAGCGGAGTATCGAACCACTCGTCTGGTATTATCTGGCCATTGTTTTCAGCTACAAGGCCTATCTTAGTTGAAGGGAAGACTTATTTTTATATGGCCTGGAACTTAAGACTGTACATTAAATATAAATATAGGTAATATAGTAATATAATTTGGTAACTCGTTTGTTGAAATAAAATGTTAAGATTAGTAAAAAAAAAAAACACATTTTTTAAGCAATTTTAATTTTAATACGAAATATCTAAACTATTTCTCTCATAAAAAGCACAATATTTAATGATTACATTATATCCAGGTTAAGCCCAATCAATTAAATATTTTGACTATTGGGGCCATGCCCTGGGTCCTGCAAACTGTAAAACTGCAAAATTAAAAGTAGTACTGTACCCATGAAAATTAAACATCTTAGATCATTTTTTTTTCTTTCGTCAAGTTGTATATAATCCAATATTAAGTCAGGACCTTATTGAAAAACAGTGTACTTTGTTTCAATGTCTTTTGTTTGTTGTACATTGAATATATTATCCTCAATAAATATTTTGCAAATAAATCAGCTGTAGGCCCCTCATACACATATTGTGAATAATTTTGGATACCACTGTTAGAAAGTCTCTATCAAATAAAGATTGAAACTGGGACAGCGCCCTCTACAGTTTGTACTTGCTTTACCAACTGTTGTAAGTTCGAAGTACACACGCTTGGATACAAGACAAGAAGCTACGAGTTGTTGCTGGGAATGTAGTGTGAGAACTGCTAAACCGTTAAAAACATTGAAACCTGGATTTGAAACTCCAATGGCTTATATGTATGTTGTGAATATGGATGCAGCAACGTAAGAATGGTGTCTTATTTTTTATAGTCGAAAACGGAGAACATAACCGATTGATTTTTAAGCGTTCGGACGCCAGCTTATGGAGGAACTATAAGTACTGGTGGTAGGTCTCGTTATCGGTAGGCAAAATGGGGTACCACCGTGGGCGGCTTTTCGCTTACAGGCTGCCTTACTTATGGTGGTTTTTGTGTGGAGGATTAACTGTGTTAAATGTTTGCCCTAGTGTAGGATATAATATTCATATCTCGGACTCGATGGACGTCGATGAACTAATTTTCAATGCCACCGTTGGTGACAGTTGGAATTACTCTATTTTTGATAAAATGAGTTCCAGTTTTGGGAAGTACTTATTGACTTTATCAGATCATTCAGGAGAATTACGCCTGAAACGAAAAATTGACTGCTTAAATCAATTGCCAAAATTTAATAATCCGTTCACAATATATATTGAAGCTACAAATAAACGAACTGCTAACAGTAATTATGGCCTGAAATGACACTCTCTGATTGTGACAGACATTTGTTGGCTTGGCGTGGGCCTATTTTTTTTAGTCTAACCACTCGATGAGCTCTGTCCAAGGGGGGGGGGAGCTTGACCTGTCCGGTGGGAGCAGCCTGCTGCCCCCCTGGCGCCGCCATGACTTCCCTGTCCACCCCTGGACCCCATCCGTGCGATACCGTAGTCAGGGTAAACTGGATCCCCGCCTGGGCGGAGATAAATGTATCCCTTTTGGGCGGAGGAGCGGAGTATTGAACCACTCGTCTGGTATTATCTGGCCATTGTTTTCAGCTACAAGGCCTATCTTAGTTGATGTTGCAGGTCTTGTAGGCCTATACAAGAGAATGAGTGGGGCTGACATTGAAACAACTTGGGATTACAAAATGTATGTAGGCCCGTGGTTGGTGTCAACAGCTTGGAACGACTTGATCACGTTACTTAATTTGAAATAGTAAATCGACATGGTTCTTAAAAAGTGTCTTAAATATATTTTATCTGAAAGTCTATTTTGTCTGGCGAGGGACCCAAAAGTTGTTAACTTCCTCTGTGTTGGGGTGATGGGGGGGGGGGAAGACTTATTTTTATATGGCCTGGAACTTAAGACTGTACATTAAATATAAATATAGGTAATATAGTAATATAATTTGGTAACTCGTTTGTTGAAATAAAATGTTAAGATTAGTAAAAAAAAACCACATTTTTTAAGCAATTTTAATTTTAATACGAAATATCTAAACTATTTCTCTCATAAAAAGCACAATTAAATATAAATATAGGTAATATAGTAATATAATTTGGTAACTCGTTTGTTGAAATAAAATGTTAAGATTAGTAAAAAAAAACCACATTTTTTAAGCAATTTTAATTTTAATACGAAATATCTAAACTATTTCTCTCATAAAAAGCACAATATTTAATAATTACATTATATCCAGGTTAAGCCCAATCAATTAAATATTTTGACTATTGGGGCCCTGCCCTGGGTCCTGCAAACTGTAAAACTGCAAAATTAAAAGTAGTACTGTACACATGAAAATTAAAAATCTGAGATCATTTTTTTTTCTTTCGTCAAGTTGTATATAATCCAATATTAAGTCAGGACCTTATTGAAAAACAATGTACTTTGTTTCAATGTCTTTTGTTTGTTGTACATTGAATATATTATCCTCAATAAATATTTTGCAAATAAATCAGCTGTAGGCCCCTCATACACATATTGTGAATAATTTTGGATACCACTGTTAGAAAGTCTCTATCAAATAAAGATTGAAACTGGGACAGCGCCCTCTACAGTTTGTACTTGCTTTACCAACTGTTGTAAGTTCGAAGTACACACGCTTGGATACAAGACAAGAAGCTACGAGTTGTTGCTGGGAATGTAGTGCGAGAACTGCTAAACCGTTAAAAACATTGAAACCTGGATTTGAAACTCCAATGGCTTATATGTATGTTGTGAATATGGATGCAGCAACGTAAGAATGGTGTCTTATTTTTTATAGTCGAAAACGGAGAACATAACCGATTGATTTTTAAGCGTTCGGACGCCAGCTTATGGAGGAACTATAAGTACTGGTGGTAGGTCTCGTTATCGGTAGGCAAAATGGGGTACCACCGTGGGCGGCTTTTCGCTTACAGGCTGCCTTACTTATGGTGGTTTTTGTGTGGAGGATTAACTGTGTTAAATGTTTGCCCTAGTGTAGGATATAATATTCATATCTCGGACTCGATGGACGTCGATGAACTAATTTTCAATGCCACCGTTGGTGACAGTTGGAATTACTCTATTTTTGATAAAATGAGTTCCAGTTTGGGGAAGTACTTATTGACTTTATCAGATCATTCAGGAGAATTACGCCTGAAACGAAAAATTGACTGCTTAAATCAATTGCCAAAATTTAATAATCCGTTCACAATATATATTGAAGCTACAAATAAACGAACTGCTAACAGTAATTATAAAGTTTATTTAGAAAATCATGCAACAGTTTATTCTCTTGTTCCAGTAACAGTACATGTACATGGAAAGAACTGTCACTGGAAGGCAAACATACAAGCAAATTCATACCTTCAAAGAGAAATAGACTCTCAGTTATGGCCAATGACAGAACATATGATAACTGTTAATTATCCTCCAGGAAATTGTTGGATGCCTGGCTCACCAATTGTACCCCTTTACGACTTCCTCCCGGCATCGCTTAGGGAATGTTCTGATTTGCTGTACTCTGTTTTAGACCATTATGGTGCTCACATTGGAATGATTCTGGATCCTCTTACTGGTGAACTGAAAGCATGGCCTTCACAGAAGCTCTGCCTTAATTATAGTAAATATGTGGAGATGCACTATAGTCTTGGTTTGCATGCTGGTACACAGTGCAATGCTGCAAGAGATTATAGTCTCTTTCTTATTCCAATCAAATTGACAATTTCAGCTGAAACTTCTAAAGATCCTACACAAAAAAGATTCCATAACCACAACTCAGGCATTGGGCATGAGTCAAGACGAAGGAGAGTTAGGAGGTCGACACGTAATTCTAATCCAGTTTTTGCACAACAGGAATATAGTGGAAGTGTATTTGAGAATGAAGACCCAGGATATATCATTGAAACCATTGTTGCCACAGATTCCGACTCGGGACCTGCAGGGGAACTTACATACAGTATGGAAGCATACGCAGATGTAAGAAGTATCTCAAAATTTACGATTGGGCCTACTGATGGTATTGTGAGAACTTTGGAAACTTTGGATAGAGAGTTTATTTCTGAACATAAATTCCGGATTGTTGCAACAGACAGAGGCGATCCACCAGGTTCTGCAATGGCTATACTAACGATTAATGTACTAGATAAAAATGATCACACGCCAGAATTTGAACTTCATGATTATCACGAACAGGTTGAAGAAGGTCTTGTTGCTGGGACAACTGTTGCAACCGTTCATGCCACAGATGGTGACTATGGACCAAATTCTGAGATTACTTACCAAATTTTAAATCCTGAACCTCCAAATGATGTCTTTACCATTCAAAGTTCTGGAGCTATTACAACAAGAAAGAAGTTGGATAGAGAAACTATAGAAACATATACTTTAAATATTCAAGCTTCTGACAATGGGAATCCATCTCATAGTAGTACAGCAGAGGTGGTAATAACTGTGCTGGATGTTAATGACAATAGTCCGCAATTCTCTCAAAGAAACTATGAAGTTGATGTAGAGGAAAATGCTGGACAAAATCAGGTTTTGCTGCAAATTAGTGCCACTGATAAAGATTTAAATCGCAACCAAGAGATACGGTACAGTTTATATAGTGGAAATGACCAAGGACTTTTCATGATTGATAGTCTAAATGGCGATTTGACTTTGATCCGGGAGCTGGATTACGAGATGAAAAATACTCATCGTCTTGTTGTCAAGGCTCTGGATAGTGGTGCTCAGTCATTATCAAACACCACCAGTGTTATTGTAAATGTAATTGATGTTAATGATAATGCACCAGCATTTACAGGAAACCTCTATCAACAAGCTGTGTCAGAGAGTGTTAATGTTGGCCACCAAGTAATGGAAATTAATGCTTTCGATCAGGATTCAGGCGAAAATGGGAGATTAACATATAGTATAGAAAATGTTGATCCAAACTTTCCATTCACGATTGATGTTGTTGCTGGAAGAGTGTTCATAACGACTTCCTCGGAACTAGATCGAGAAACAATTGATGAGTACAGATTCAATGTTAGGGTAGTAGACAATGGTGATCCTCAATTGAGTGCAACAACTTCTGTCATCATCAGAATCACTGATGTTAATGACAACCCTCCTACATTTCCTGAACGCCGGTATGATACAACTGTGGATGAGGATGCAAATTCCGGAACCCGTGTGATCACGATTACAGCTGAGGACCCCGACTCTGATAACTATGTATCGTACCAGATAACTGCTGGGAATTTACGCAATCGATTTAGCATCCGGACACAGGAAAACCAAGGACAGATACTCGTTTTCCAGAGTTTGGATTATAATCAAGAAAGACGCTTTGCTCTGACCATTGAAGCATCTGATGGCCAACTATCAGACACATGTACTGTATTCATTAATGTTTCTGATGCTAACACCTATGCTCCGGTGTTCAATCAAGCACCCTATCGTGTGAATGTACCTGAGGATGTTCCTATTGGCCACATAGTGGTTCGTGTAATGGCCACTGATGGTGACACTGGGGAGAATGCCCGCATTGAGTATTCAATGGATTTGGAGCAGACATTTGAAGTAGACCCAGTCACTGGTGATGTCAAAACAAAGTTGCTTCTTGACAGAGAAAGTCAGACAAGTTATAGTCTACGCATAAAAGCGAGAGACCATGGGAATCCTGTCAAACAAAAATTTACAAATGTAGAGATTACGGTTACTGATATTAATGATAATGATCCAGTTTTCCGGCTGGACTCTTATGCAGCTGAGATCCTTGAGAATGTGAGCTCCCGACACAGTGTGATTCAAATATCGGCAAGTGATAAAGATGAAGGTGAGTTTTCCAAGTAGTAATCCGTGCCACCTTAGGTACACATTGTACTGTCTGTGTTAATATTTTTATATCTAGTGTGTTTTTGTAAAACCATTAAGGGGAAGCAAGGAAAAGTATTATAAAATTATGTTTTCTCATTTCATAAAAGCAGTTACCAGGCAGAGGAGAAAATAGAAATATGATTAAAAAAAACTATGACCTTGTGAGGTAAAATAGCTCCTGCTTAAGATTTTATCACATGGTTAAAAGATTAAGATTTTTTTGATATAACAGTTTTGTAATTAAGATAAATCCTTAAAATTCTATTTGTTTAAAGATATTCTTTAATATCTGTGATTCTAAGTAATTATTCAATATTGTTTTGCTTGATAAAATGTTACTAAAATCATTGAAACAATGTTACTAAAATCATTGAAACAATTTTTTTTTATTGGTCTGTGAAAGTTGTTAACCTGCAATTCTATAACTTGTCAAAGATTATGATTAATTTTTAGTTCATTTTTTTTTGCTGACCACATAACTTTAAATGTTGCAATACAGTACCAGTATAGTACTAACATACTGTAGTATTTTTGTTATAAATAATATTTTCGTATCATTTCTAATTAATCATGTACTCTTTCTAGGTACGTTTGGGGCTGTAACTTACACATTTGAAGGAGGTAATGATGGTGATGGTAAATTTGAAATTGAATCATCTAGTGGTATCATACGCACATGTACAGTCTGTAAATTAGATCGTGAAGAGGTTCCTGTCTACAACCTCGTAGCTATTGCCAAAGATGGAGGTATGCGTGAGACATCGGTGCCAGTACTTGTGACACTATTGGACGTAAACGACAACATGCCTTCGTTCGGGACTGATGAACTTGAGATGCATATTTCGGAGGATAGTGATATAGGATCCATTGTCGGAATCGTCCAGGCAACTGATGCTGACACAGGATCTAACGCCATCATCACATACGAGATTGTTTATGAACCAGTCGAGAATTTGTTTATCCTAGATGCTTATACAGGAGAATTAACAACTAACGGATATCTTGATTATGAAGCCAGAAGTAGTTACACTTTATCGTTAAAGGCAACTTCTAAACCCTTTTTCACAACTGTTTTTTTAACTGTTTATGTTGATGATGTTAACGATAATGCACCATTGATTGAAAATTTTGACATTTACTTTAATAATTATGTCGGCCATTTTCCTAAAGGGGAAACCATTGGCAATGTGCCAGCGCGAGATCCAGACGTTGCTGATACACTGACGTACCATATAGTTGATGGGAACCGAAATAACATACTGTTCTTAGATAGCAAGACAGGGGGAATCCAGCTGAATCCAGATTTAGAAGGATCGAATATTCCCGGTGTCGTTACATTCACTGTCAAAGTCACAGGTAAGAATTATCTTTCATTTTCCTTCTTCTCTTCAGCCAGTAGTGCATAACACAACTAATCCAAGAGAGCAAATGTTAAGAGCATGGCACCTCTATACCGCCTGAAAATTATACTCTCTCGTACTTTAAACAAAATATAAGTATATGTTATCAGTTATAATTGTAAAATGGTGAAGTTATTTATCTTTAAGAGGACTAACTATCTCTTCATATTTTTTGTTTTGTTGTGTTTGTTGTTTTGTGTGGTTTATTCTTCCCTGCATTGGTATATTTTTGATGTGAATTTCTTTATATTCTAATTATTATTAAAGGTTTAATTGTTTCATCATTGTAGTTTGTTTTTTTACTGTATTGCCTAAATTAATTAAATAAGTAAATGGATAAATATATAAATAGATAAACAAAAAACATACAGGTAACTGTCTAGTTGAAATATTTACAAGCAAAACAAACTTTAAACCTAAAAAATAACTGAATTTAAAATGTAGTGGGCTTAACTTAAAACTTTTTCAAATGCTTCAGAAAATGTGAAAATGATTTACAAACATCAGGGGTGTTAGACCTCACTTAGAGCTAGGTAAGCAATGGTGTTATTGCACCAGTGCTATGTTCTGTATATTTAAAGTCTTGACCCCAGCAGGTGTGACTGGGAGGTAGCAGAGAAGGTAATGAGGGTATAATGATTTCTATTCTAAACACAACACACATACTGCATTTATCTGTTCGACAGTTGGTAAATCTTCTGTAATCCAGTTATTGCTTTAGACGAGTTATAAAGATAAAAAGAACTAAAAAATGTTGATTTTGATAATTAGAATGAAGAGAAATACTGTATATTTTTTAAAATATATTTTAATATAGTATATCATACTTATAATACTGTATATATAATGATAGAATGAAACAAACTGAAAAAAAGGTGATATAGTACATGCTCACATCATGATTTAATGTTTTAAACTTTATTCATCTTCAGTTGTATCACTTTTTTACTGTAGATATTATGTTTTGACACTTATTAAATATATTAAATTAAATTTATTTCGAAATTTATCTGATGTTATGAATTTGAAAGATATAGCTATGAATTTTAAAAATAACTTTCCTCAGGAGATTTTCCACAGCAACACACCGTCCGTAACTAGCAGTTTCCAAGAGTTGGTATCGTAAATCTTGGTCCGATAGTTTCAAGTAAATATCCATTTCCCTTTCGAACTTGGTCAGCTAATCCATTCATTATCAGGATTAATTCTTATATACTGTCAAATTTTTATTGATATTAAAATCAACATAGGATTAAATCAGTTAAATCTACTCCTAATCTTATGTCTGAACCACATATTAATAACTGTTCTTCAGTATAGAATTGTCTAGAAGTTAATAGCTATGCATTCTATATTATAGATAATTGTCTCTGATTACAGTATATGGTAGACCATTGCACACTGTTGTGCCAAAAAGAAAAAAGATCTTTGTATCATCACAAGCTCTACTGATTAATACCATAGGCTTTTTTATAAACATTTTGATTGTTGTCAGTTAAAAAAAAAAATAAAAAAATTTAAAAACGCAATTTTGTGACTGTTGCGTGGGTTTAAAATATTTGAAGGATTTTTTTCTGACTGATGACGATGTTAAAAGGAACCAGTACCAACAGAAAAGGAACTATCTTAGTAACAATACAAAAGCGCTCATATTATATTAAGCATACTTTTTATTCCACGGTTGGCAGGTGTAAAATTATTATATATACAATAAAAAAAGAATGCAAAAATTGTCGTCATCAAACAAAGATTTTTCTGACTGTGTGTTACGCAGGTTTCTTTACAATTTTACTCATCCACAACGTAGGGACATTTTCAAAAACCAAAAGAATTTGCTGATTTCTACTTGATTATTCACCACAAAAATAGGTTCTGTTTTTTTTCAATATTTTTTTTCCTGCAAACTGGAGTCTCCTATTCCTAAAGATGATTCAATAAAGTTTGAAACATCAATTCATGGCCTCCCTATCATTATTCAGAGGAATGTTCATTCTATGGAGTTACTATGTAGAAGTAGTATGGTGTTGGCCTACCTTTGTTGTTCAGAGTTTCTTTGAATTTTCAAACTACTGTCCTTTGTTAGGGTAATTAGGTCTGGGTTGGCCTTGCTCATACATTGTGTGATCATAGCCTGTGTATTGTTCTCTTCTCATTAGGGCCAGGAATTAACCAAATAAGCCTTTTCATCCCATTTGAAGGGGTATATTTATTATAGTTATACAATATAGTTTTCTCTAGGATTTTGTCAAAACCCAAAGCACATTTGAATATGGTATTAAAAAATATATTTTGTTCAAGAACAATTGTTGTTAACGGAATGAACCAATAAATCTAATCTATTCCATGCTAATAAGGAAGCTTCATAACAGTAAGCACACTTATTTCTGTAATATAACACTCTAGCTGCGATACTGATCACCATCAAATATTATCTTAGCCACCATGGGTACAGACTGGATGAGTTTAAAGGTCACATTCACAACAACAGTAAGGTATACATTAAGCTATAAATTTTAGATGAAATGTCATTAAAAATAATGTTATGGGTATTTTTATTGACTTCATTTATATAAGGCCAAATAAAATTAATTGCTAGTTTACGTCCCCACCCTCATTAAATTTTGGAGCCTCATGAATGAATTTACTTTTTGCTATTTTCCAAAAAAATGTTCATTTTTCCTTGGACAATAAAAATAATGACTATCTGAAAGTATGATGTCAAGCCTAAGAATATGTGCAACAAAAATGGCAGAAATACATTAAAAAGAATCATTTTACTTCTTTTATTAAAAAAAAAAATGTAAGAACAAAAATGGCAGAAATGCATTAAAAAGAATCATTTTACTTCTTTTATTAAAAAAAAAATGTAAGAACAAAAATGGCAGAAATACATTAAAAAGAATCATTTTACTTCTTTTATTAAAAAAAAAATGTAAGAACAAAAAGGCAGAAATACATTAAAAAGAATCATTTTACTTTTTTTAAATTTTTTTAAATTTTTTTACTATTCACCAGCCTGTTAACTATGAGTATACAGGATAGTAAAAAGCAAATAGTAAATACCCTCACCAAAAAATAATTTCAGGTCCTACTACTGTAACAATTTATTTTATTTGGCCTAATGTATTATAACACCCTAGCCTGAAAAAATAGCAAATTGAAAAAAATTTGATTCTTTTGTTTGATGGCAGGCCATTTAAAAGTTAGCCAATGTCATTCCCACTAAGACAGTTTTTATTTCTTTATACAAAATTTAAAAGTTATCAAATCTTGAGGAAATTACAATGTACAGTTATTTGTTTATCCCAGTTTTTTTTTTTTGTAGGGAGAACCTACACTAGTAGTGTTTTATATTTCAGTTAGATATTGTTATTGCATTTTACAACCCATTTTACAATTCCAACAACTTTTCCATTCGGAAAAAAATAAATGCTTGTTTAGTGTGGTAGAATTTAGTAACAAAAATTAAGCCTGTAGAGACTGATTCTTTATTGATTTTACCCCGCCAACTCCAAGATTGAAAGGCCTTTAACAAAGGGGTTTTACATTCACATCACTGGCAAAGCTACCAACCTGATAAGTATATTGTATGCTATACACACATAACACTCTATAGACTAATATTATTATTACTAGGTGGCTTTCGGTCTTTGTTGCATTTGCAAGTGAATTAACAACGTGATTAATTGCTTTAACGAATTGGTCTGTTCTTTATTACTTGGGAAATTACTTACAAAATGAATGAACAATTGTTCTTATTCAATAATTATGCAAATATGTATAACCACTGTTTCATTTGAGGTGCTGTTTAATGGATATTTGGGTTTTATAATTAATTTGAAGGATAAATACATTTGGAATCTATTCAGTATGTTTATAAATTGAGCGTTAAATAATTTCTGGTAGCAACATGTTTGTTTAAGTTTTACTAACACAGCAAACATGGGTTTTATTATGAATAGTTAAAAATAACAATTTTCAAATCAATTTTAATTTTGACTACTAACTAATAGCTTAATTTTAATCTCTTTAATGGATTCAATCATAACATTCCTATATTATTGGCTTCAAATTTCTTTGTGAATTAAAACTGTTAAAATTTTTTAATCAATAATGTTTGAGGAGACCTTTAACCTCTGAAAACTGGAGTGCATCTTAGCAAATGATAACTAAAAATTCCAGTGTACCCAGAACTCCTAGTTACCGTAGCAACACGGTCAGGAGTTCATTATGTTAGACGCTACCGTAGACCAAGGGAATATTAATGCTATTAAATTAATGCGAGGTAATAAATGAAATGACCTTGTTTCAACCCTTCTGTCTAAATTGAATTCAAAGGATACAGAAGCTTACTAACTACTACACTTCTACTACACTGTATAGTTACAGAAACTAGTATGCATTTTTAATATTGCAAAATTAACAAATAAACATTTCCACGTGTATTATATTATAGAGAACCACAGTGGTGGCGCTCTCTGTTGTCAACAGACGTAGGTTACCGTTCATTACACCTGAATGACTGCATAGGCTTTCTGGAATAGGCATTTTAAAATCTAATATTTTACCATCAAAATGTACTAAAAACACAAAAGCTCGCATTATATTAGTTATCGAACACACATTTAATCATCAATTAAAATTTACAAAGAAAAACTAAGATAAAACATCTTAATAATTACGTTAGAAATTGGGACCAATGGTTTGTTAGTGGCGAAAATGGCGTCGGGTTGAACGCATTTTGCAACAATAGCAACGGAGTAGTATCACATGGTATCGTGATGTAAAACTGTAGTACTCTATTATTACTAGTGCTAGTTAGGGCGTATTTTGCTAAATTACTTAAGCCTGCCTCTGGAGTTTAATATATGTTTACAAATAAATACTCTAAAAGACATTGAATGGGTGTTTGAATATGTGATTGGGCTTTATAAAATATGATCAGATTTTTTTAAT